TTTGCTCTTGTCACCCAGGCTGGAGTGCAATGACCCTATCTTGGCTCACTGCAACCTCTGCCTCCTGGATTCAAGCGATTCTCCTGCCTCAGCCTCCCAAATAGCTGGTACTACAGGTGCCTGCCACCATACCCAGCTAATTTTTGTATTCTTGGTAGAGACAGGGTTTCACCAGGTTGGCCAGGCTGGTCTCAAACTCCTGACCTCAGGTGATCCACCTGCTTCAGCCTCCCAAAGTGCTGGGATTACAGGCATGAGCCACTGCGCCTGGCTTCAACATGGCTTTTGATTGTTCCTCATGTTAGTGCATGTTCTCTTTTTACAATAAATCCATGACCATCGAAAGATAATCAGTTTGACATACATGGCATCAGGACCTTCACAGCCACCACAGGTTTTCTCCCCTTCATTATGTGTATTTATGAAGTTCTACTTTGCTTCTACTGGGTCACTCTTGTGGCTAAATTTAAATGGCAGCTCAATTAGGGCACCTTAGTTCTCTTCCATGTGGTCTGTGTAATATACACGGCCTCTCTTTTGAATTATCTGGTATTCCTAACAGCATGGTGGCTACATTTCCATAGGGAACATTGCAATCTCAATGGGCTGCTCTTGTGTCTTGATGTCTCTTTGGTCACAATAAGTCACATGACGCAGAGACTCACACCTATAATCTCAGCATTCTGGGAGGCTGATGCAGGTGGATCACCTGAGGTTGGGAGTTCAAGACCAGCCTGACCAACATGGTGAAACCCCATCTCTACTAAAAATACAAAAATTAGCCAGACGTGGTGGCGGGCACCTGTAGTCCCAGCTACTCAGGACGCTGAGGCAGGAGAATCGCTTGAATCTGGGAGGCAGAGATTGCAGTGAGCCAAGATTGTGCCATTGCACTTCAGGCTGGACGACAGAGTGAGAGTCCATATCAAAAAAAAAAAAGCCACATGGCCAAATTCAGAGTCATCGTGGGAGAACACTATACAAAGTATACATATGAGAAGGCATTGTATCGTAGTCAGCCTCCAAGATAGCCCTGAATGAGCCTTATTTCCTTGTATAGTATTTACTCCCTTGTATAGTCCCCTGCAAAACTGAACCGGGCTGACCTGAGTGATGAATAGGCTATGGTAGAAGTAACGGTGTATTTTTAAGGTTAGGTCATACAAGACTGTCACTTCAGACTTGTTCTCTTAGATCTCGCACTGGGGGAAAACTAACTGCCTTTTCACTGGAGACATCTGGAAAGGCTCATGTAGTGAGGAACTGAGGACTTTAATAAACAACAGCCAGTGTCAACCTAGAACCGTAAGAATGAGTTACCTTCAGAACACATCCTGCACGCCCAGTCAAGCCCTCAGATGACTGCAGCCTTGACCAAGTATAGCCTCTTGAGAAATTCCAGGCCCACATGACTTAGCTAAGTTCTTGAACCACATATGATTAAATACATGTTATTGTTTTAAGGCACTGAGTTTTGGGGTATTTTGTTATATGGCAGTAGTTAAAAAATACATTCTAGCCTGGGCAACATACGGCAAAATGTCATGTCTACAAAAAAAGTACAAAAATTAGCTAGGTGTGGTGTAATACCAGGTGTTCAGGAGGCTGAAGTGAAAGGATTGCTTCAGTCTGGGAGGTGGAGGTTGCAGTGAGCTGAGATTGCGCCTCTGCACTCCAGCCCGGGTAACAGAGCCAGACCCTGGTTTTGAATTCCTGGGCTCAAGTGATCCTCCTGACTTGGCCTCCCAAAGTGCTGGGATTACAGGTGTGATCCACCATGCCCAGCCCTTCTCTATCTTTTGCTTCACAAACCCCAATTCTAGCTTCTTTGGATTTATCAAATTTCTCAAGATGGAAATATAGATCATTCTTTCTTTTGTAAAATACACATTTAAGATTATAAATTTCTACAGGTGCTCACACCTGTAATCCCAACACTTTGGGAAGCCGAGGTGGGTGAATCATGAGGTCAGGAGATTGAGACCAGCCTGACCAATCTGGTGAAACCCCGCCTCTACTAAAAATATAAAAATCAGCTGGATGTGGTGGTGGGCGCCTGTAATTCCAGCTAATCAGGAGGTTGAGGCAGGAGAATTGTTAGAACCCAGAAGGGGGAGATTGCAACGAGCCAAGATTGCGCTATTGCACTCCAGCCTGGGTGACAGGGTGAGTCTCTGTCTCAAAAAAGAAAAAGATTATAAATTTCCTTTAAGTACAGCTGTAAGTGCATCCCACAAGTTTTGGTAGTTCATATTTTCATTATAATTCAGTTCAAAATATTTTCTCATTTTCATTATGATTCCTTCTTTTATCAGTTATACTTTCCTAAATATTTAAGGAAGAAATAAAATCAGTCTTACTATCAAATTTTCAATATACTCTGATAGAAAAAAGAGGGATCACTGCTTATTTTGTTTCAAGCCCGTATAATTTAGTACTAAAACATGATACAGTTGTCTTAAGAAATTATAAGCCAGATTTTAAAAATATGATTACAAAAATAGAGGAAAAAATATAATAGCAAATAAAATATACATTAAAGTATTATGACCAAGTTGTCTTTATTTTAGCAATGCAGACTTGGATTAAATTTAGAAAATCAGCTATTGGGATTTACTATATTAACAGAATTAGGGAGAAAATGTGATTATTTCAATAGGTGTCAAAAAATACACAATAGGCTCATGTATGGTGGCTCATGCCTGTAATCCCAACACTTTGGGAGGCTGAGGCAGACAGATTGATTGAGCCCAGGAGTTCAAGACTAGACTGGGCAATGTGGCAGAACTCTGTTGCTTCAAAGAATATTTTTAAAAATTAGCCAGGTATAGTGACACATGCTTGTAGTCCCAGCTACTTGGGAGGCTGAGGTTGGAGGACCACTTGAGTCTGGGAGGCAGAGGTTGCACTGGCTGAGATCGCTCCACTGCACTCCAGCCTAGGCAACAAAGCAAGACTTTGTCTCAAAATAATAATAAAATGTAACACGATAAAAAAAATCTTGGCAAAAGAAAAGTATAGCTTCAATATTTGACAATGGCAACAGATTGTATCAGTCCTGGTTCTCTTAGAGGGACGGAAGGAATAGGAATATATGCACACACACAGAGCTAATAGGAATACGCACATACACACCCTCTTTCTCCCCAGTAGGATACTAATAGGATATATATATGGGGCACATGCTACCATGCCCAGCTAATATTTTTGTAGAGATATGGTCTTACCATGTTCACACACACACACACACACGCTTGCCCCCCCCCCCGGGAAGTTTATTAAATATTAACTTACATGATCACAAGGTTCCACAATAGGCTGTCTGCAAGCTAAGGAGCAAGGAGAACCAGAACTTGGAGTCAGATGTTTGAGGGCAGGAAGCATCCATCCAGCATGGGGGAAAGATGTAGGCTGTGAGGCTAGTCCAGTCTGCCCTTTTCACGTTTTTCCACTTACTTTATATTCACTGAAAGCTGATTAGATTGTGCCCACCAGATTAAGTGTGGATCTGCCTTCCCCAGTCCACTGAGTCAAAAGTTAATCTCTTGGCAGCACGGACACAGACATACCCAGGATTAATGCTTTTCATCCTTCAGTCCAATCAAGTTGACACTCAGTATTAACCATCACACAGATTAAGTAAACTATGATTTATAATTAGAGAATAATTTTTAAGGTCTGAGGAAATTATTGTGATTTGATACATAAATAAAGAATTATAGTTATTTGCATAATTACAGAGAAAACAGACTAGCATAAAGTACACATAAATGTGAATAGTAGTTTCTGGAGTTGAGAAATTAATGGCTTTTTCTTTTATTTATTGTTTTCATTCTTTGCATTTTATAATGATTCTAAAGTGTGCATTGGTTAATTTTATAACCATAAATAACAACAGGTTAATTATAATTAAATCTTTTAATCAGAAATACAACTGCATTAAAATAATTTTAAAATGCCATTTTTTTTTTTAAAAGACAGTGCCTCACTCTGTTGCCTAGTCTGAAGTGCAGTGGTGTGATCTTGGCGCATTGCAACCTCCACCTCCGGGGCTCAAGGGATCCGACCATCTCAGCCTCCCAAGCAGCTGGGACTACAGGCATATGCCACTATACCCAGCTAATTTTTTGTATTTTTTGTAGAGACAGGGTCTTGTCATGTTGTCCAGCCTGAAAAATGACTTTTTATTGCGAAGTGTAAAATTCATTAAAGCATAAAATAGCAATTTTAAGGAGCCTAAACAAGTAACTCTTTGTGTGTGTGTGTGTGTGTGTGTGTGTGTGAGAGAGAGAGAGAGAGAGAGAGAGAGAGAGAGAGAGACGGAGTTTCGCTCTTGTCACCCACTCTGGAGTGCAATGGTGCGATCTCGGCTCACCACAACCCCCACCTCCTGGGTTCAGGCAATTCTCCTCTCTCAGCCTCCTGAGTAGCTGGGACTACAGGCGCGCGCCACCATGCCCAGCTAATTTTTTGTATTTTTAGTAGAGACGGGGTTTCACCATGTTGATCAGGATGGTCTCAATCTCTTGACCTCGTGATCCACCCACCTCGGCCTCCCAAAGTGCTGGGATTACAGGCTTGAGCCACTGTGCCCGGCCAGCACTCTTAATAATAAAATATAAAAGAAACATAATCAATGATGTTGCCAAATACCAAATGAATTTTCTTTTCCATATGGGGCCAGGAAGTACCTGGGCTAGATATATATAAAATGAGTAATAAGAGTCTTAAGTTCTTCATAAATGAAGTGCTAGTGTAGATAATGTGTATACAAGTAATTGAGAAAGTGATACTTACGAGTTTTTTAGACTAGCCATTTCATGCTTGTGATCTTCTCTGAAATTCTTAAATGAAGATTTATAAAAAGTTAACTGTGAACCGTCTGGTGGCCACTGGTTGCTAATGGAGATGGTTTTCTTTTCTATTTTTTTAAATTACATCCTCCACTGATTTCTAAATACCAGGAGTTGATTATTTTGTGTTTTTGAACATTTTTACAGATGGTAGTGAAAACCTTTATGGATATGGATCAGGACTCAGAAGATGAAAAACAGCAGTATCTCCCACTAGCCTTGCATCTTGCATCTGAATTCTTCCTCAGGAACCCCAATAAAGATGTGCGTCTCCTTGTAGCATGTTGTTTGGCTGATATCTTTCGTATCTATGCCCCAGAAGCTCCATATACTTCCCATGATAAACTTAAGGTAAATACAGCCTTTACAAAATCATTTTCTTGTATTTTTCATTCACAGCTGATCAGAAGGTATACTTTTATTTTTATACATTACCTTTATGAATATAAGTTTCGTATTAGTCTCTTCATCTTAAGAGTATATCATATGTTGCAAAATTATTCAGTCACTATTTTCACATACGACTGAGTTGTTTGTTTGTTTTGAGGCATAGAAAGATGTAGTTCAAAACTGGTTTCTATATGCTGAAATCCAATTTTCTGGCTAATTCATCACAAAAGCCCATATGGCTATGTTCCAGGGACAAATAGCTGATTAATGATACTTTTTAAAACAATAACATACCAGAATTTACATAGTCATCTGACTATTTTCTCCTGTAAGTTATTCGGCATGCAAAACTATATGCTTATCTTGGTCATTCTGCCTTTGTTCAAATGATTGTGGAACTCTCACATTGATCACTTGAGCAGATTTTGCATTTTGAATAATTTCATTCTTGGCAAATTTTAATCCTTTAGACTGCTTTCTTTAAAAATAGTCCCCCAAATCATTTTGTATTATATTGATACTACTGTGAGTTGAAACTTCTAAAGAAAACTTAATAAGAAATGAAAGACTATCATCATGAAACATAGAACCGTTGGACTAGTGTGTTGCCTTTTTTCACACAGAACTTCATAGTCATACATCAACATCAAAAGTGTTAGCTAAAAATTACTATTTACGTGTAGGAAATAGTAATGAAAAGACTCATATCCAACTCCTTAACATGAAGATAGTTTTTGCCACAATGTAAAGTAGAGATAGTAAAGTGAAAGCCCGATAGTAGAAGGAAAGATAATGAGATACAGAGCCTGTGGTCCTCCTGAATACAAAAGCCTAAAGATTTGTAGACGTAACTATCTTTATTGTTGCTTCTAGAGAGTATAATTTTATTTGATTGGATATTTTGAATAATGGACTAGGCCAGTCCCAAGACATTCATCTAAAGGAGAATTTTCTTTATTGTAGTTTGTACACAGATAATATATTTACATACTGTTAGTGTGTTTTGAAAGAAAAGTATTCGTGTCTAAATTAATATATTTTATTTTTTTAACAGGACATATTTTTGTTTATTACCAGACAATTAAAAGGTTTGGAGGATACAAAGAGTCCACAGTTTAATAGATACTTTTATTTATTAGAGGTAAAATAATTTATTTAATAATTTATTTAATAACTATTACATTATTTCACATGATAGCAAATTCTTCATGTTAACTTTGTAATGTAAAATGAGTCTTTGTGTTTTATTCAAAGCCTATGATAAAATGTCTTTTACATTTCATAAGGAAAATATCATTTTATTTTTATTCCTATCCTGAATAGATAAAGTATATTCTCATGGAAAAACTAGATTATTTGAAACTATACCTTTTGTTTGAAACAGAGAGAAACTCTCTCTGTTTTTACTGTTTTCTAATCTAAAAATAGATTTTCACTGTTCCTTAAATTTTGCGTGTACATCTATCTACCAACCCAAAAATATTGAGTATTTTCAGTTTGAGAAAATTGATGCCATCAGGTATATATCTTTTTCAAGGTCAGAGTATGTGATTAATTTAACACTTAAAATTTGATATGTTGAGTCTTTATAGACTTTAATATGTTCTAATTCTAAAAATTAATTTATGCTGAACTTTTTATTATATAACTATTCTCTGTGTGTGTATGTATATATATACTTCAATAATTATTTTTGTTTATTTAAGAATTTAGCTTGGGTTAAATCATATAACATCTGCTTTGAATTGGAAGATTGCAATGAAATTTTTATTCAGCTTTTTAGGACTCTCTTCTCAGTGATCAAGTAAGTTATTTTTTTAAGCATTTCTGTTTCTTTTGTTTATTTATATATTCAGATGTGTATTCTATGTACACTAAGGTACTTCAGAGTTAGAAGGAATCGTTTTCATTGGAAGACTTAACATGAAGGGAAAAGTAAAAATCCTGTTTTCCGAACGCTGCCTTTGTCTTTATACTACCATTTTTAAATTATGGCATCAATTTATTGGTTGACTCTTCAGTGCCCCAGTCTGTTCTGGAGGCTGTGGACTAGTAGAGAAGTATAAAGTGGTGCTCTTGTTTTGGAGAAACTTACTGTCTAATAGAGGCAGCCACATATGTTTATAAAGCAAATCATCTGAAACCTTTTATTAATATAATGAAACATTAAATTATGAGGTAGAAATTATGCATATTGTATGTACCGTTAGTGCTGGGAGACATAATACCTCAGTTTTTAAGCTCACTAACTTTGACTACTTCTTATTCTAGATTTAGGAAAAAAACCTTAAACATTTCCTAAGTTGGCCTTCTCTTTATAGAAGTAGGGAGACTAGTCCAGAGCCAGGAAGTATAGTGGCTTGCCCAAGGACCAGTTGCTGGGCAGGAGGATCAAACTCTGATTTTAGCCCAAGTTTTTTGTTTTGTTTTGTTGTTGTTTTGGTGTGTGGGGTTTTTGGTTTTGTTTTGTTTTTGAGACAGCATCTTGCTCTGTCACCCATGCTGGAGTGCAGTGGTGCCATCTTGGCTCACTGCAGCTTCTGCCTCCCAGGTTCAAGCAATTGTCCTGCCTCAGCCTCCTGAGTAGCTAGAACTACAGGTGTGTGCCACCATGCCTGGCTAATTTTTGTATTTTCAGTAGAGATGGCGTTTCACCATGTTGGCCAGGCTGGTCTCAAACTTATGATCTCAAATGATCCACCCATCTCAGCCTCACGTAATGCTGGGATTACAGGTTTGAGCTACCATGCCCAGCCTGGTTTGTTTTTTTGTGTAGTAAATCAAGCACTGCTGTGAGATGTATTCTAGAGAATTACATTATATACAAACATATCTCACAAAAGTTTTCTAGTAGCCACATTAATAGGAAAGTAAAAACAAGTGAAATTCATTTTGATAGTGTATTTTATTTATTCCACTGTATCAAAAAGTATTTTCTTTTTTTGAGATGGAGTTTCGCTCTTGTTACCCAGGCTGGAGTGCAATGGCACGATCTTGGCTCACCACAGCCTCCACCTCCTGGGTTCAGGCAATTCTCCTGCCTCAGCCTCCTGAGTAGCTGGGATTCCAGGCGCGCGCCACCATGCCCAGCTAATTTTTTGTATTTTCAGTAGAGATGGGGGTTTCACCTTGTTGACCAGGATGGTCTCGATCTCTTGACCTCATGATCCACCCGCCTCGGCCTCCCAAAGTGCTGGGATTACAGGCTTGAGCCACTGCGCCCGGCCATCAAAAAGTATTTTCATTTCAACATGTGACACTCTTCATACTTTACATATTTACCAGCCACATGTGGCTAATGGCATGCATATTGAACAGCACATTTCCAGAGCTTTCTGCAGATTTTTATGAATGCTATATTATATTTTCCTTTTCCTTAGATGAAATGGTAGGATTAGACATTAACCTGAAACAAACAGGAAAGGATGACTCCAGCTTGGCATAAGGATAGAAGCTTGTAGAAAGACTGCATGAGAAAAAGCTTCCAGAGGCATTTGACTAGCAGTAAGCCCTTAAGTAAATGATAGAACATATAAACGTTACCTTTGTGTTTGTTAGGTTTTGCTGCATCACAAAATAACCTAAAACTTGATAGTTTAAGACAGCCACCATTTTATTTAGCTGGTGATTCTGCTTGGCAGTTGATTTTATTTGGAGCGGATTTGCACCTGTGTTTGTAGTCAGTTGGCAGGATACCTGGCTTTTGGCTGAGGTGGACTGAAGTGATAGAACTGGGTCGCATGTCTCATCCATTCAGGAGGCCAGCCCAGGCCCTTTCATATGCTGACTAAGTTCAAAAGTAGCGAGAAAGGGCAGGCCTCACTGAAAGCACTTGAAACTGACTTTTGGCCTTATATTTTATACTTCATTGATTTTTCATTTGTCCATTTGAAATTCTTTGAGAGGTACTAGGATGACATTTTCAGAAAAACCTTCTAGTTCTGGAAAGCATTTTAGGTGAAACTTTTGATTTTTAGTATTGGTGAATTAAACCTTCTAGTGGCAAGGATAAAGCAAGAATTGCTTATGTTGGCTTATACGTTTGGTGGTGTTTAAACAGGTTTCTATCTTAGTGTGAGGAATTTATTAAGACCTAAGGTGTGGGAGCTGAAAAAAATGTCTGCTTTTATTATCATATACTTTTTTTGTTGTTTCCTTAAAATTTTATCACCTTTAAAAACCTGGGCATGTAAGCAGAAGTGTCCTTTCTTTAAAGTGGACCTTTTTGTTTATGTGTTTTTTGAGACAGGGTCTTGGTCTGTCACCCAGGCTGGAGTGCAGTGGCACGATCATGGCTCACTGATGTCTTGACCTTCTGGGCTCAAGTGATCCTCCCATATCAGTCTTCTGAGAAGCTGGATCTATAGGGACACACCACCACATCTGGCTATTTTTAATTTTTTTGTAGGGACAGGGTTGTGTCATGTTGCCTAGGCCAAACTTGACATTTTTATTAGGTAGAATTTAATTTACTCTTGGAATCCTAGTTGTATAGAGACTTAATTTATTTTAAAGGTCTTTTTTTATTTTTTATTTATTTATTTTTATGAAGTGGAGTCTCACTCTGTCGCCCAGTCTGGAATGCAGTGGCACGAACTTCACTCACTACAACCTCTGCTTCCTGGGTTCAAACAGTTCTTCCACCTCAGCCTTCTCTGCAGCTGGGATTACAGGCACCTGCCCCCACACCCCGCTAATTTTTGTATTTTTGTAGAGGTGGAGTTTGACCATGTTGGTTGGCCAGGCTGGTCTTGGACTCTTGCCACAGGTGAGTCACCTGCCTCAGCCTCCCAAAGTGCTGGGATTACAGGCATTAGCCACTGTGCCTGGCCTTTTTTTTTTTTGCTTTTTAAAAAAAATGTGAATTGAAGAAAATGTAGTTTATTAGAAGTTAGGTTGGTCTTGTTTATATAAAATACAAACATACCTTACAACTGTTGTAATTAATAGTCAACAAAAGGAGAAAGCAAATAGAGCAGCCAAAATTCCTCTGCCATTATTGGTACTGTCCCTCTAGTGTAAACCCTTTGAACATGAGATTGTTGTTTTAAACTAGGAAGTTTAATTTTCTGTTTGGAAACTTGAATTCTCTTCTTCTTTTCCTCCTCCTCCTCCTACTACTGCTTCTTTCTTTTTTTTTTTTATAGCAATAGCCACAATAAGAAGGTACAAATGCACATGCTAGATTTGATGAGTTCTATCATCATGGAAGGTGATGGAGTTACTCAAGAATTGTTGGACTCCATTCTTATTAACCTCATTCCTGCACATAAGGTCTGTAAAGTATGAATATATTAAAGGTTAATATTTAACAGTCATGCTACACATAAGAATGAACAGTTGTTTTATGGCCATTTGCAATCCCATGTAAATGTTCTCATGATCATTCTCCACCTCAAATAAAATAGATTAACATACATTAGTCTTGTGGCTATTATTTTTACGAAACATTGATTAACGTATGTAAGATTTTTATTCATTTAGGTGTTGTTTTCTGGAAACTGAAAATATTTTGTATTCATAACACATGGTCTGGGAATTATAAGGGGTTAGGGATGTCTTTTTGGTTAATTTTGTTTGGAAAAGAAATGTATTTCCTCCTTTTTAACATAGATGTGAAGCATAGGAATTTGGATTTCTTTTCAGAATCTGTATCGTGCCTTTTTCTTAGGTACTCTAAGAAAAAGATTTGGGCAGAAGCAGAAGCTATATAATTAATGTTAAGAAGGAAAGGATGGGATGATTCAGAGGTGCATCATTCCTCTCCATTTCCTTTATGTATTTCTCTCCACCAGGTCCTCCTAAGAAACTGAAGGACTTGGCTGCTCTCGAGCTCCACCACTGGGCTCTACTCAAGCCTACCCAATGTTGATATTTGCCCTTCTGTTCTTTTTCTCTAATGATTCAGTAACCTGTTGTCAGACATTAGAGGAAAAATCTGTCTAATTATACTTATTCACAGAAAGATATAATTAATTTGAAATTCTTCTCTTGACTCTAAGTATTTGTATTTTATGCAGATGAATTTGTAGTTTATAAAAATTCTGAGTCTATGGCAAAGGAGAGCATATTTTGGCAGGTTAAGACAGTGTATTTGGTTTTTATATACTAGGTAAGTAGGTCTGTGGTATTTTTTTTTTGAGACAGGGTCTTGCTCTGTCACCTAGGCTACTAGAGCGCAGTGGCACAATCTTGGTTTATTGCAACCTTTGTTCCTGGGCTGAAACGATCCTCCCATCCCAGCCTTCCAAGTAGCTGGCAATATAGGCATGTGCCACCATACCTGGCTAATTTTTTTAAAAGTTATTTTTAGAAACAGGGTTTTGCTATGCTGCCTGGGCTGTTTTCAAACTCCTGGGCTCAAGTGATCTGCCTGCCTCAGCCTCCCAGAGTGCTGAGGTTACAGGAATGATCGACCACAGCTGGCTTGAGAGCATTTTTGTTAGTAGTAGGAAATGATTTCTTTTAAGAAATAGAAATGTTAACTTAATTTTAAGCAAATCTTATCCTTTGCCAATGAAATAAAAGTATAGAGCAGGGGTCAAGAGGCTGTAGCTTGTTGATCAAATTTGGACCATTGCTTTTTTATGTAAGTAAGATTTTATTGGAATACAGCCATGTTCATTCGTTTTCATTTTGTTTATATCTGCTTTCATGCTACAACAGCAGTGTTGTGTAGCGTAGCAGTGATTTGTATGACTCATAAGACCTAAAATATTTACGATATGACCCTTCATAGAAAAAGTTTGCTGAACCCTTGCCTAGAGTTTAGGGTTTCCTAGCCCCCTTCTGGAAGAGGTGTGAGATGATGGTAAATTAATCTGTTTGATCTAAAACTTCAAAATATATAGCAATGTTAATAGGCATTATTCAAAACAAGAATTCCCTTTTCAGGCATTTTAAAAAAATTAAATATGTATTTTCTACAGTTTTTCTCAGATCTTTTCATTTATTTGAGTATGTTGGGGCTCTTTAAGAGGGAGCATAGTATTCAGCATTCCAAAAATATAATTGACCAAGACCCCCTTTTTTGGAACACTTACCAGGTCTACTCTTCTTCAGAGCACACATTGATTAAACAATGAAATAATTGAGCATGTTATGTTAGATTGGGGAGTGTATGTGTTTAGGATACATGGTGTAGTTGTCGGTTTACATTGGTTAACAGACAAAACCAAAAAGCATTAGGTCTGTTTTGAGTTTACTAAAACTTAATATGGGGTTGTGCTTTTGCTACCTAATCCCTTTTAGTTATTGATTAGTAAATAAATTCAGTTTGCAACTTCTGCAATGAAGACCACTTGACTAGAGGATATTTGGCAAAACCTTGAAGAGAATTCAGTTATTTTTATTTTTGTTTCATATTTTAGTGAAGGGAAATTCTTTTTTTATTATAGATTTGAAGACTACAGTGTTCTATTGTTACCATCTCATAAATTAATAGTCATTTGTAACTTTTCATGTTTTTATTTTTCAGAACTTAAATAAACAGTCCTTTGACCTTGCAAAAGTGCTGTTGAAAAGAACAGTCCAGACTATTGAGGCATGCATTGCCAATGTATGTATTTCTATGTATTTTTTAATTCTTAATCCATTGTACTAATTTATTAGAACCTCTTACCGACAAGTTTATTTAGCTTAAAGATTTTTTTTCCAAATGTGACCAAGGTTAGAGAAATGCAGCATAAGCTTCATGATGTTGTTTTTATTTATTTTTGTTTGTTTGTTTTGTTTTTTGAGATAGAGTTTCGCTCTTGTTACCCAGGCTGTAGTGCAGTGGCACGATCTTGGCTCACCGCAACCTCCGCCTCCTGGGTTCAGGCAATTCTCCTGCCTCAGCCTCCTGAGTAGCTGGGATTCCAGGCACGCGCCACCATGCCCAGCTAATTTTTTGTATTTTTAGTAGAGACGGGGTTTCATCATGTTGACCAGGATGGTCTCGATCTCTTGTCCTCGGGATCCACCCGCCTCGGCCTCCAAAGTGCTGGGATTACAGGCGTGAGCCACCATGCCTGGCGATGTTGTTTTTAAAGGGCACAAGATGGTGGATGTTATTTTAAGAATACTTGTCTACAACTCCCATCCCGTGATCTGCGTCTGTATTTATGTTTATTTCATCGTCTCCCCAATATGCTGATCTCTTTATTTTTGTTTTTTGAAGTGAAGTTTCACTCTTGTTGCCCAGGCTGGATTGCAATGGCACTATCTCAGCTCACTGCAACCTCTGCCTCCCGGGTTCAAGTGTTTCTCCTCCGTCAGCCTCCTGAGTTGCTGGGATTATAGGCATGTACCACCATGCCTGGTTAATTTTGTATTTAGAGTAGAGACAGGGTTTCACTGTGTAGGTCAGGCTGATCTTGAACTCCCGACCTCAGGTGATCCACTGTCCTCAGCCTCCCAAAGTACTGCCATGAGCCACCGCGCCCGGCCTCTCTACATCTTTATCTTTGGGTCTCTCTGTCTCTTTTATATATTTTCCTCTTTGTCTCTTCTGGGTCATTCTTCAAAGTCTTACTGTTTATTCCTCTTTAATAGTTGCTATATAGTAATAGTTTAAAAAAAGCTTTATTGAGGAATTTGTTCGGGATATTTTTGTTGTCCTTACTAAAAAAAAAATCAATGATTTGGAATAAAATATTTGTAATTTCACTACCTTATAGCAGTTAATTCCATTGTACATTTACACATATTTATACCTATTTTTACACATACTTTATGAAAATTTTTGTCTTATTTGTATTTACATATTTTGACATTCTTTTTAAATATATAAGAATGACTATAAATATTTCTTGATATATATTTTCTGATTGTCATGCATTTAGGTCTTTTCAGTGTTTTTTTTCTTTCCTAATCATCTTTGTGAATCTAACATTTATGTATTGTTGAATTATTTCCCATGGATAAAAATCCAAATGAAGTTTTGTTTTTTCTGAGATGGAGTCTTGCCCTTATGCCCAAGCTGAAGTGCAATGGTGCAATTTTAGCTCACTGCAGCCCCTGCCTCTTAGGCTCAAGCAGTTCTCCTGCGTCAGCCTCCTGAGTGGCTGGACTACAGTTGTGTGTCACCACGCCCTGCTAATTTTTGCATTTTTAGTAGAGACGGAGTTTTACCATGTGGCTATGCTGGTCTCAAACTCCTGACCTTAGGTGATCCACCCACCTTGGCCTCCCAAAGTGCTGGGATTACAGGCGTGAGCCATCATACCTGGCCAAGAATGAATATTTTCTAACTCTTAATATATGCTGCTTTTCAGATTATGATACTAGCAGAAATACATGCTTTTTTTTTTTTTTTTTAAGACTGGGTTTCACCATGTTGGTCAGGCTGGTCTTGAACTCCGAACCTCAGGTGATCTGCCTGCCTTGGCCTCCAAAGTGCTTGGATTATAGGCGTGAGCCACCACACCCAGCCAGAAATACATGCTTGTATCAGTGGCATACAATTGCCCCTTTAGCTTTTTTTTTTTTTTTTTTGACACAAAGTCTCACTCTGTCACCCAGGCGGGAGTGCAGTGGCATGATCTCAACCTTCACTCACTGTGACCTCTGCCTCCCACGTTCAAGAAATTCTGTGCCTCAGCTTCCCGAGTAGCTGGGATTATAGGTGCCCACCCCCACGCCTGGCTCATTTTTGTGTTTTTAGTAGAGATGGGGTTTCACCATCTTTGCCAGCCTGGTCTTGAACTCCTGGACCTTCCACTCTCCTCAGCCTACCAAAGTGCTGGGATTATAGGCATGAGCCACCATGCCTGGCCCCTTTAACATATTTAAAATTTAATTCTTTTGCGTGTATGGGGGTATTGGTGTAGAGTGCTGGTATCTTTTAATTTGTGCTCTTGGCCTTGTGTACTCTATTTCTCCTATTAGCATTTTAAAAAAACAATCAGCTGTTGTTTCACCACCTTTTTCTTCTTAAACGTATTTGACTTTTTCTGAGTATTAAAAGAACCAACCCAACAACAACAAAAACCTCCTTCACCTTTAAATACTTTTTATTACTAAACTCATAGAAAAATTATAATGATTTTTGTTTTTTTGAGACAGGGTCTTGTTCTGTCACCCTGGCTGGAGGAGTGCAGTGGCATGATTATAACTCACTGCAACCTCGACTACCTGGGGTTAAATGATCCTCCTGCCGTGGCCTCCTGAGTAGCTGGGGCTGCAGACATGCACTATCATGCCCAGATGATTTTTTAATTTTTTTTTTTTTTAATAGAGATGAGGGTCCAATTCCTGTACGCAAGATTGTCATGACTCAGCCTCCCAAAGTGTTGGGATTACAGGCATATGCCACTGTGCCTTTGATTTTTTAAAAATCAAAGATTGGCTGGGTGTAGTGGTTTACCCACCCACTTTGCCTGTAATCTCAGCAATTTGGGAGGCTGAGATTGGAACATCACCTGAGGTTGGAAGCTCAATACCAGCCTGACCAACATGGAGAAACCTGTCTCTGCTAAAAAACACAATTAGCTGGGTGTGGTGGCACATGCTGTAATCCCAGCTATTCGGGAGGCTGAGGCAGGAGAATCACTTGAAACTGGGAGGCGAAGGTTGCAGTGAACTGAGATAGTGCCATTGCACTCCAGCCTGGGTGAGAAAGAGCGAAACTCCGTCTCAAAAAAAAAAAAAATAGATTGAGGCTGGGCACGGTGGCTCAGATGCTGAGGTCAGCCAATCACCTGATGTCAGGAGTTTGAGACCAGCCTAACCAACATAGTAAGACCTTGTCTCTACTAAAGATACAAAAATTAGCTGGGCGTGGCGGCAGGTTTCTGTAATCCCAGCTGCTAGAGAGGCTGAGGCAGGAGAATGGCTTGAACCTGGGAGGCAGAGGTTGCAGTGAGCCAAGACTGTGCCACACTGCACTGCAGCCTGGTCAATGAGTCAGACTCTATCTCAAAAAAAGAAATAAATAAAAGATTTAGACTTTGTAATTTTTCTCTGCTACATGGAAATTTCTCTATGAAATCCTTTGTAATGAACTACACAAACTAATTGTTTTAATGAAAAGATTCCTAGAAATGTCCATATTTGAAATACAGCCAACAAACCATTCTTTTTTTTGCTTCTCTCTTTGTAACGTTTATGATTTGATATTATTAGGAAATTATTTCTTCTGCTGTTCAGATGACTATCCTATTATATATTAGTAACTCACACCTATTTGTATGACCTTCGATTGTTTTTTAAAAAAAAAAAACAGGAATATGCCACTGTGCCTGTGTGAATTACTAAAATTCACGTTTATAAAAAATATATCCATGTTTTAAAATATATATATATATATCCATGTTTCAAAACTGCACGTTTATAAAAATATATCCATGTTTTAAAATGAACTGGATATTTTATTTTTGTTTTTAATATCTCCTATAGTTTTTCAATCAAGTCCTGGTGCTGGGAAGATCATCAGTAAGTGATTTGTCAGAACATGTATTTGATCTGATTCAGGAACTTTTTGCTATAGATCCTCATTTATTATTATCTGTCATGCCACAGCTTGAATTCAAACTTAAGGTAAGATTGACATTTTTTTTTTTAATTTTCTTTATTTCTAGAGCAGGTACAATGTAAAATTGACCAATTTTCAAGCCCTTTAAACTTTCCAGGAAAAAAAAATTGTGGAATTTTTAACCGTAGAAGAATGAAGTGTGACTTGAGTTTTTCTTTTTATATTTAGTTGAGGTTTATATTTTGAATCACTTGAATAAAACAGTATCTGTTACCTGGGTGATAGAATTTAATTGCAAAATTATAATCTAATGGTTAAATATCTACTGGTAATCACAGTGGCACAAGCAATAGATAGGAAAAATGACATTATCCTAGAAATTTGTAGTACACATTGGTTTTTTTGTTTCTTTCTTTCTTTCTTTTTTTTTTTTTTTTTTTTTTAAGATGGGGTCTCGCTCTGTCTCCAGGCTGGAGTGCAGTGGCACAATCTTGGCTCACTGCGACCTCCGCCTCGTGGGTTCAAGCAATTCTCCTGCCTCAACCTCCTGAGTAGCTGGGACTATAGGCACATGCCACCACGCCCAGCTAATTTTTGTATTTTTAGTAGAGTCTGGCTTCACCACGCTGGCTGGGATGGTCTCGATCTCTTGACCTGGTGATCCACCCGCCTCAACCTCCCAAAGTGCTGAGATTACAGGCGTGAGCCACCGCACCTGGCCTACAGATTGGTATTAAACGGTATTTATTATTAGTTAGATATGTTTTAGAACATCAAAATATTTTAAATGGAATCCTCATATGGTATTGATTATAACTTTAGGACTTTTTCATGGTACAGATTAACGACAGAAATTTTACTGTCCTAAAAATAGTGTATCTATTTTTTATTGACAACTGAGCAAGGAATTCATGATTCTCACCCCTCTGCCATTTGTAAAAGTTTACTACTGCCTTGAACTCTTGGGCTCAAATGATCCTGCCATCTGAGTCTCTCTCTCTCTTTCTCTCTCTCTCTCTCTCTCTTTTTTTTGTGGGGGGGGTTGAGAGGGATTCTCACTATGTTGCCCAGCTGGTCTCAAATTCCTGGCCTCATGCAATTCTCTTGCCTTGGCCTCACAAATTACTGAGATTATAGGCATGAGCCACTGAGCCAGTCAAGGAATATATTTTGACTTTCATAAATAGCAGAAGGGAGAGTTTTCAGTTAGTTTTATTTCTGTAGTTTATAGATGTGAAATGTCACCTCGTTTGACATAATCACTGATCTAGTAAAATATTTCCTTGCAATTAGAATAAAATTTCCATGTATTTTGTTGTTTCATATTTAGGGGATAGATTACTTTTTCTTTAAGAAATAAGTCATGTTGGCTAACAAATTGAACTTATTAGAAGATTGTGCTACTCTGCATTATTGTCACTTTGCTTGAGAAAAATTTTGTCAAAGAAAATCAGGCTGGGCCAAGTGCAGTGGCTCATACCAGTAATCTCAGCATTTTGGGAGGCATAGATAAGCAGATCTCTTGAGCCCAGTAGTTTGAGACCAGCTTGGGCAATATGATGACATCCCTTCACTACAAAAATCACAGAAATTAGCTGAGTATAGTGGCACACGCCTGTAGTCTCAGCTACTGGGGAGGCTGAGGTGGGAGGGTGGCTTGAGCCTGGAAGTTGGAGGTTATGGTGAACCAAGATTATACCACTGTACTCTAACCTGGGTGATTGAGCCAGACCTTGTCTCACACACACAAAAAAGGAGAGAAAATCAGGCCGGGTGTGATACCTCATGCCCATATAACCCCAGCATTTTGGGAAACTGACGTGAAAGACTTGCTTGAGGCCAGGAGTTCAAGACCAATCTGGCGAGAATCTGTTTCTACAGAAAAATGAAAAATTAGCCAGGTGTGGTAATGCACACCTGTGTGCCCAACTACTTAGGAGACTATGGTGGGAGGATCACTTGAGCCCAGGTGTTCAAGGCTGCAGTGAGCCATGATCATGCCACTGCATTCCAGCCTGGGCAATAGAGCAAGACTCTGCCTCTTTAACAGACAATGATTTTTGTCATTTATAATTAAAATAGTTAATACTTGATGTAATTTTCATTTTTACATTAGTTAAGTGTGCCTGTTTTCCCCACAAAACCCCTGTTGATAATTAAAACATTCATAAAGAAAATATTTTATCCCATGGCCTTTATTTTTCTATTTTTACTTCTGTTTCCCAAATGGATTTGTTTACTGGATATCTGGTATTGCTTTTGCCACACATTGTATTTGAACACCTAAAAAAATTAGCAGTTGCTTTTAGATTCTGTGTTTATTTTCCTAGTGAATATAATTTTTGAAAAGAAGTTTTACACACCATATGGTTTCAGACTAACTTATTTTATATAAAACATGGCATCATTACTGAAACTGGAACAGAATTTTTATTGCATATGCTATTTCAGGATAAGAAAATAAGAGAATCTTACTAGAAAACAATGAAGTTTTACTCTCTTATAGTGTTTAATTCAGCTGACCTTCAGATTGTGTTATAATTCTTGTGCTGCTCTTAAAATGAATTTTCATGAGTCATGAAATTCTGTAGTGTTCTCCAGTCAGTAGGGGATACTTCATTAAAGTTTTGTATATCAAAACCTTACGTTGGAACTTAAATTGCAGATTTCCTATAAAGTAAGCTTATTAGAGTGGTAATTGTTTGTAGCTTTGTCCTTCATAGAAGTTTTTATAGGTTTCTTAATGTTAGAAGTGAATGATATATTTGTACAATGTCTATAACCAGTGTGTAGAATGCAATTAATCAGTGAAGAAGGCATAAATTAGCAGTTGGCAGGGTGTGAAACAAGAGCAAAAACCCAGATGATCTAACATGAAATCAAATCAATTTCTGCATACTAAATGAGAACACATGATATTTTAAACTTCTCACAGTTATAAGCAGAAATATGAAATTGTATCTTCTTGAGAATGTTTCAATATATTTTCTGTAATCTGATTACTAAGGCTCAGGCTTCACTTTCTGTTTTCTCTTCTTAGAGCAATGATGGAGAAGAGCGATTAGCTGTTGTTCGGCTTCTAGCTAAATTGTTTGGTTCCAAAGATTCTGATTTGGCGACACAGAATCGTCCTCTTTGGCAATGTTTTCTTGGACGGTAAGAGAACATACATTAATGAAGTTTATATTTTGGAGAATAGTCAGTAGGGTGTAGTCCATTTGATTAAAACTGTACATATCAAAACTTTCTTTGATACATATTTGGTTTCATTGTTGCCATCCTTATAGAATAAATTTTAGGAAAAATTTTTTATGAACAAAGCTTAATATTTTATCTGCATAACACTGTGTTAAAATCATGTCATGGCCAGGTGTGGTTGCTCACACCTGTAATCCCAGCCCTTTGGGAAGCTGAAGCAGACGGATCACTTGAGGTCAGGAGTTCAGGAAACTAGCCCAGCCATCATGGTGTCTCTACTAAAAATACAAAAATTAACCAGGTGTGGTGATGAGCGCCTGTAACTGCAGCTACTCTGGAGGCTGAGGCAGGAGAATCCTTGAACCTGAGAGGCAGAGGTTGCAGTGAGTCGATATCAAGCCATTGCACTCCAGCCTGTGTGACAGAGTGAGACTCTCTCAAAAAAAAAGAAAGTAATTAGAATAAATAGCATTGCTGGATATTCTAAGTCTTTTTTTTTTTTTTTTTTTTTTTTTTTTGAGACAGAGTCTTGCTCTGTCGCCAGGCGCCAGGCTGGAGTGCAGTGGTGCAATCTCAGCTCACTGCAATCTCTGCTTCCTGGGTTCAAGCAATTCTCCTGCCTCAGCCTCCCGAGTAGCTGGGACTACAGGTGCGTGCCACCACGCCCAGCTAATTTTTATATTTTTTAGTAGAGAGGAGGTTTCACCATGTTGGCTAGGATGGTCTCGGATCTCTTGATCTCATGATCCACCCACCTTGGCCTCCCAAAGTGCTGGGATTACAGGCATGAGCCACTAGGCCCAGCCGATAGTCTAAGTCTTAAGATTTTTAAATCATGAAACTGAATACATACTGATCGAATTTTAAGAACCTATGCCATTTGTCAGCTTACCAACTTTTCCATTTACTCATGCTTGTCTTTTGGGTCTGTAACTTAACCTGCACACATTGTATGATGTGTTTTAACTAGTTTGGTATAATTTTATGATTTTTAAATGGAAAATGTTGCCCTTAGATAGTTTTTTTGTTTTTTGTTGTTGTTGGTTGTTGTTGTTTTTGAACCAGAGTGTCGCTCTGTAACCCAGGCTGTAGTGCACTGGCTCAATCTCAGCTCACTGCAACCTCTGCCTCCTGGGTTCAAGCAATTCTCCTGCCTCAGCCTCCCAAGTAGCTGGGACTGCAGGTACCTACCACCACCACTTGACTAATTTTTGTATTTTTAGTAGAGACGGGGTTTCGCCATGTTGGCCAGGCTGGTCTCCAACTCCTGACCTCAGGTGATCCACCCACCTCGGCCTCCCAGAGTGCTGGGATAACAAGTGTGAGCCACCACGCCCAGCCAACTCAGGTAGTTTTTAATGTTTCTTCTCAAGAGCTTAGAGTGACTGAATTCTATTTGGCTTAATTGTAGTGTTGACAAATTTATGAAATGTATTAAATTCCTCCTCGCATTCTATTTACGTGTTATGTTTCAAAAGCTGATTGTAAAGTAGATATTTACTATTAATATTCTGGAGATATTTCAGATTCCCCATTGTTTAGTTCAACTGATTTAGAAGTTGGTGCCAGAATTTTTCTTGAAGTAAATTCACCATAATAGTTCTCTTACTAATCCTAAGTTCTGAGAAATCTCTGACAATGCTATAATGCTATCTTAGCAGTTACTTGTCCAGAACATGCCATTTTGAAGGTCTTAGTAGAATAAATGCTGAATATTTGAATAATTAAATGTGACTCTGTGAGAATTTTGAATGGTGGGAATAGTGAGAATTTTGAATGGTGGGAATCATTTTGCTTAAATTATTTACAATAAATATTTGATATTCATCCTGGTATAGGGAGTTCCCAGGATGGACATCAAATATTACTTATAAAAATGAAATCACCCATAAGAGGTTTCTGACAGTTGTTATTTTACATTCACTGCTAACTTGTAGTAATGTCTCTGCAGCATTATTTTCTGTAATTACAGCATTAAGTGTTTTGATACTTTGTAATTACTTGATCATTAATAATGTATAATTTTTCTCTATCAGCTAGAGAACTATAAATTCTAAATTCAAGATTTTATTAATGCATGAAAATTATATCTGCGTAACAATGTAGGAGCTCATAGATATTAAGACATTTACTTAAAAACTTTTGTTTACTTGGTTATTTTTTGAGATTATTTCAAAAATAAAAATATTTTCAGCTATTTCAGATCACATTATCCATCAGTCTATTTTAAATTTGAGAGTTCCTTACCTTATCCTTAACATGTGCAGCTTTGAGTTTATGTATTGTGTTTCATGTTAATTGAACTCTTATAGTATACTAAACCTTTAAAAGAGCATTGTAAGCTGGGTGCAGTGGCTTATGTCTGTAATCTTAGCACTTTGGGAGGCCGAGGTGGGTAGATTGCTTGAAGCCAGGAGTTTGAGACTAGCCTGGCCAACATGGTGAAACCCTATCTCTACTAAAAATACAATAATTAGCAGGGCATGTTGGTGTGTACCTATAATCCCAGCTTCATGGGAGGCTGAGGCTTGAGAATTGCTTGAACCTGGGAGGCGGAGGTTGCAGTGAGCAGAGATCACATCATTACACTCCAAGCCTGGGTGACAGAGCAAGGCTCTGGATCCAAAAAAAAAAACAAAAACAAAAAAGCAAGCATTATAATACTAGCTGGTGCTGGCTGAAGAAACGTGTGGTAAGGCAGTGTAACACAGTTTTGGGGTTTTTTTTTTGGGGGGGTTTTTTTGAGATGAAGTCTCGCTCTGTCACCCAGGCTGGAGTACAGTGGCGTTCTCTCTCCTCGTTGTAACCTCTGCCTCCTGGGTTCAAGCGATTCTCCTGCCTCAGGCTCCCAAGTATTTGGGATTACAGGTACCCGCCACCACGCCCAGCTAGTAACCCACATTTTCTGCACTCATCTTTGAACTTCTGGATCTGCTTTTTATATATGGTTTGCTTTTTACCTCAAGTTCCCCAGTGTTTGTCTCATATAAATCTTTTGTCTTGTTTTGTTTTGAGACAGGGTCTGCTACCCAGGTTGGAGTGCAGTGGCACAGTTATGGCTCATTGCAGCCTTGACCTCCTGTGCTCATGGAGTCCTTTCACCTCAACCTCCCAAGTAGCTGAGACTTCAGGGGAATGCCTCCACCCCCAGCTAATTTTTGTGTTTTTTGTAGAGGCAGGGCTTTGCTATTGTTTTCAAGACTGATCTTGAACTCCTGAGCACAAGCAATTCACTCACCTCAGCTTCTTGAGTAGTAGCCGGGACTACAGGGGCATGCCACGATGGCTGCCTAATTTTTGTATTTTTTGTAGAGGCAAGGTTTTACCATGTTTCCAAGACTGGTCTTGAACTCCTGGGTGCAAGCAGTCCACCTGTCGCCGCCTCCCAAAGTGCTGTGATTACAGGCGTCAGCCACCAGGCCTGGAATCTCCTATAAACTTATTCTTCAAGCAGATTTTGTGTGCTTTGAATATTTTTTATTTTGTAGCATAATATTAAGTTCTCAGATTTTTAGCTCCATAAAGCATGTAGTTTGGGTTGAGGTATGTGTTTGTTTATACTGTTTGTTTTAGCATGGTAAAGAAATTCTGTTTGGTAAAATATATTAATGAAATTGTGTCTTTTCACCTTATAGTGTACTTTATATTCTTTCTTCAGAATACCTTAACTCATAACAAATTTCTAATCAGTAACTGTTGCTGTTTGTAAGCATCTTCATGTTAGATACACCTCCTTTGAGAATTATTTTGCCTTACAATTAATATTTAGCAATCTTTTTCTATGTAGATTTAATGACATTCATGTTCCTGTGAGATTAGAAAGTGTGAAATTTGCCAGTCATTGCTTAATGAATCACCCAGATTTAGCAAAGGATCTCACAGGTAAGCTAGCTTGTTTATTACACATATTAGCATAATCACACAACTGTATTGTAGATGTCGCTTGTGACCTAACTTCACTTTCCAAATAGGTTTTTACTCTGGTATGGTCTCAGGTTTTTATTTGTTGTGTACTAAGAAATGATTTCATGTTCATATAATAAAATTACATTTAAAATCTTTTTATTTATTTATTTTAAGAGACAGACTCTCACTCCTGGGCTCAAGTGATCTCTCACTTTGGCCTCCTGAGTATTACAGGCGGATGCCACAATGAATGCCTAGCTTAAAATCTTCATATTTTAATCCTTTGAGATTTTTTGAGAAACATAATTCAAGGAAGTAACATATTTCCCAAGACATTGGATTTGGGTAGAAATCATTATGTCTATATAATTAAATATAGTAGCATTTAATAATAAGTGAGAATGTGATTATCTTCTGCCCTAGACTAGAATTTTTTGCTGTTTTGAACCTAGAGCATTTAAATCTACCTATTTGGAAGCAACACATAAGTGATTTCTATCAATTGGCTGTTATTTACCAAAAAGAACAGGGGAAATAACATTTTCTTTGTTTAGGTTTAGTTTGTATTAAAAATTACTTAAGAATTTTTAAAGAGTCTCTAAAATATTCCAGATTTTATATTGTATAATTTGCTGGTATATGCCTATTACCTAAATTACCGTAAACATTTTCACTGTTTTTCTTTTAAGCCTTTTAATTTGTAACTGAAATTCAAACTGATATAGATACTGCATTGTCAGTTGACTTTTTTAGGATAACTGATGAAAATACATTATTAAATGTAACTATGGGCATGGTGGCTTACGACAGTAATCCCTGAACATTAGGAGGCCAAAGTGGGTGGATCACTTGAGGCCAGGAGTTCAAGACCAGCCTGGCCAACATGGTGAAACCCGTCTCCACTAAAAATATAAAAATTAACCAGGCATGGTGGCAGATGCCTGTAATCTCGACTACTCTGGAGGCTGAAGCATGAGAATTGCTTGAAACCCTGGGTGGCAGAGGTTGTAGTGCACCGAGGTCACTCTGATGTACTCCAACCTGGGTGACTCTGTTTCAAAAAAGAAAAAAGATGTAACTATGAAGTTTTTATTTTATTGTTTCTTTTTTAATGAAAAAGCACCTGCGGAGAAATTATTCTTTTATTTGTTTTTTGATACAGGGCCTCACTCTGTTACTGAGACTAGAGTGTGGTGGTGTGATAATCGGCTTACTGCAGCCTTGCCTTCTGGGCTCAAGTGATCCTCCTTAGCACCCCAAGTAGCTGGCACAACAGGGGCGGGCCACCACACCTCTGGCTGATGAGTTTTGTTTCTTAATTTTGATAGAGATGGGGTTTCGCCATGTTGAATAAGCTGGTCTGAACTCTTGAGCTTGTGTAATCTGCCTGCCTCAGCCTCCCAAAGTGCTGGTATTACTGTTGTGAGCCACCATACCTGGCCAACTTTAGAGTTTTAAGTGCAGTTTTGTGATTATAGTAGAATACTGTTGCTATAAAAATAACGTAATTTAATTTCGTGCGATATTTACCAACATTGCTTCAGTATGGACAAAAACTTCATGTATTTCTGTTCTGTTCTGCTGTTCTGAATCATGACAAATTACATAGCTAACATTCGGCCTAAGTTTTTTTCTGTTATTACAGAATATTTAAAGGTTAGATCACATGATCCAGAAGAAGCTATTCGTCATGATGTCATTGTTACTATTATAACAGCGGCCAAGAGAGACCTGGCCTTAGTAAATGATCAGCTGCTTGGCTTTGTAAGGGAAAGAACACTGGATAAACGGGTAAAATCTGAGGCATTTTATTCTTATGTAATTTACTGTGTTTAAATTGCTAAATACAATTCGTGTCATTTTCTGTTAAATTTAATGTCTTTCTGTGTGAAAATCAAATTAACAGTGATAAAGAGCTCATAATTTGTATGTCTCCTGTATATCTTTTAATTATCCTTATGAATTGATACATTGGATTTTATAGCTTTTGAGATCTTAAGCATGGGTTTTTTTTCTAGCATACCTTTATAAGAGAACCACTAAGTTAATCAAAATTTTACCTTTTCACTTACCTGATGAGTTTCAGAAGAATAGCAATGGATTGTCTACTCTTATAGTTAACATTTGCAAATATGATTTTCTTATATAACTTAGCTAGGTCTGTTATTCATTGTACTAAAGAATATCACTTCCTTAGAAAGTAATGTTTACATATTAATAACCCAAGCTAAGGACAGTAGTGATGGTTATGTGTTTAGTTATATTTCCTGTGATTTTTCTGCATTTGAGGCAGTTAAAAACATAGATTGATAAGGAAAAATAGTGCTAAGACACTACTTAGGAATAGGGTCAGCTATAAACAAGAGAAAGAAGTGTAAGGCAGGCTGATTAGGTATCTTTCTAACATGTTTCATGATTGCCTTGCAACATGCTATTATTTTATTAGAGTTGTAGTTGGAAATTACTTTCCTCTGCAACCGAGTATTATAATTTCAGGGTAGAAAAGTAATATTGGTTGTGGTTTTACAATATAGCAAGAGGTATTCTTTAATTTTTAACTTTTAAAATTTTATATTATGTAAACGTTTAAAAAAAGGTGGATACCTTTTTAACTTTTTCAACAGTGTTAGTAATTCTGACTTTGAAGATTTTTTTCCCCTTGGCTTTAGTTTAAATGAAATTACTCTCCCCCTAGTGGTTATTTGGCATTCTTCCTTTCCCCCTTTAAAAAAAAAATTACTACTATTAAAGTTTTTTCATAGTTTCAGAAAGTTGAATAAATGAATCTACCTAACTGAAACTGTACAATATTTTCTGACCTGGATTTTAGTTTAATAAGTTAGATGACCTTCTTTATAGCCTTTCTGGAAAAAAAATTATTTTTTCTCTAGAAATTTGAGAACAGGATTTACTCTTAAGATTTTATTCATTTTTTTTTTAAATTTCATGTAAGAAATGTCAAAAGACTTTTGCTAACCTGTTATATAGGAACAAAGTTTATTCCATCTAATAAGTGGCCTAAAAATGAGAAAATGTTACAAAAAATTACAAAGAACTATTGACTTAAATATACCAAAGATAATATACTCCCACCCACCCCTCTTTTTTAGAGGTGGCATGTTACTGTGTTACCCAGGCTGAACTTGAACTCTTGGATTTGAGTGATCTTCTTGCTTCATTCTCCTGAATAGCTGGTACTACAGGCACCCACCACCACACTCACCTTCTTTTTTCTTTTTTTTTAACACAGATATCTTTTTTCACTATTATTTTTCTTACATCTTCTGATGGTCCTCATTCTAAGTTTTCATGGTCTCTTTTCTTGTCTCTTCTCTCACAACCTTTCTTTCCTACCCTATTAAACCTTCCCAACCTCTAAAAGTCTCACAGAGTCTTCGGCTAACTAGATAAATCATTTGCCTTTTAGGTTTGCAATGTAAGGAAATTCATTTATGGTGATCACTAAGGTCCTTTTTTTTGAGACAGGGTCTCACTTTGTTGCCTAGGCTGGAGTACAGTGGAGTAATCTCGGCTCACTGCAACCTCCTCTTCCCAGGCTCAAGTGATCATCCCACCTCAGTCTCCCAGGTAGCTGGGATTGCAAGTGTGCCCCACTACACTTGGTTAATTTTTGTATTTTTTGTAGAGATGGGGTTTCACCATGTTGCCCAAGCTGGTCTTGAACTCCTGGTCTCAAGGAATCTGCCTGCCTCCACCTCCTCACTCCCAGAGTGCTGGGATTACAGGCTTGAGCCTGTTCTCTCTTTTGGGAGCTCTTTAATTTGATGTTGAAATTCTTGGACTGATAGTTTCATTTTTTAACCTTTTTTTTGTTTTGTTTTACTTCATCTACATTTTTAATTTCTGGAAGCACCTCTCATTATCTAATTTTTCTTCATTTTTTTTCTTTTTAAATCAGTTTCCTCAGGTTGAATCATTAATTTTTCTATATTACTTTCTTTCTGCCTCCTTTCCCTTTTTTCTTCCCTCCTTTACTTCCTTTTCTTCTTCGTTGCTTCTTTCTTCTCTCCTTTCTTCCCTGCCTCTCTCCCTATCTTCCTTCCTTTCTTCCTCAAAGGAACTGGGTCTTATTTTATGGTGTAAAATCTTATCTCCCTGAGAATATTTGAAAGTTTCTTCTATTGCCTGTATTATCTCTGTTTGCACTGAGTCCTGTTTTCCTCCTCTGGCCTGTTTGTTTTGGTCCCTTTCTTTACTGTTGAAACCTTTCCACAAAGGTCTGATGATGCTTTAATTTTTTTTTTTTTTTTTTTTTTTTTTTTTTTTTTTTGAGGTAGAGTGTCACTCTGTGGCCCAGGCTGGAGTGCAATGGTGCGATCTCTGCTCACTGCAACCTCCACCTCCTGGGTTCAAGCGATTCTCCTGCCTCATCCTCCTGAGTAGGTGGAATTACAGACTCATGCCACCATGCTCAGCTAATTTGTAGAGATGAGGTTTCAGCATGTTGACCAGGCTTGAACTCATGACCTCAGGTGATCCACCTGCCTTGGCCTCTCAAGGTACTAGGATTACAGGTGTGAGCCACTGCCCCCGCCCTTGGTCAGATTTTTGACTGAATCACTGCACAGCCGATTGGAAGCTCTGTGTGAGTGGGCAGGTCTTGTCAGCTTGGTGAGCTTATTTTTAGATTCACTGGGTAGTCAGCCAGCTCAACTCTTAGATTCACTACAATTTTAGATTCACTAGAATTTTAGATTCACTGGGTAGTCAGTTCCCCAACTCCTGAGCTCAAGCGATCCACCTGCCTTAGCCTCCCACAGTGCTGGGATTGCAGGCGTGAGCCACCGTACCCTGCCCAGAATTCTTGATAGTCAACTTTGTTCTTATCCTAAGTTAATATCTAAAGCATGTAACTGGCAATTAAAACATTCCAGATAATAGGGCTTTTGTTTGCAAGGGGAATTATAATCACTTCTAAAACTTGGTGAATTTTCTTTCAGTATCAAATGAAATCTCCCTTAAGATTATTACTGAGTTTCAAGGGAAATAAAAAATCAGTAACCCATCACTCTAGCTACTCAGGATGCTAAGGCAGGAGGATCACTTTAGCCCAGAAATTTGAGACCAGCCTAGGCAACATAACCAAACCTCATTTGTTTAAAAAGAAAAAGGTAGATCATTTAGCAATATTTGCATTGGAAAATTTCTAAATAGGAACAGATTCAAAATTGTTTTTAAACCCTCTTCTGAGAAGAAATAGTTTGCCTGTCTATAAAGATACACATAAGACTGTACAACCTAATGAAGTCAGGGCAATCTTTAGAGATTAGTACAAAGTTTTGGTATCTTGCTCTTCTAATTAATTTTATGCTTTTTAGTGGCGAGTAAGAAAAGAAGCTATGATGGGTCTGGCTCAGCTTTATAAGAAATACTGTCTTCATGGTGAAGCAGGAAAGGAAGCTGCAGAGAAAGTCAGCTGGATAAAGGACAAACTTTTGCATATTTATTATCAGAACAGCATTGACGACAAGTGAGTTTAATATGTTCATAAGAATGGTTGAGTATTAAACTACTTTTAAAAATGTCTTTAATATTTTAGTAACTTATTTTTATGTTTTTACTTCATAAAATAAACTTAATTCAACTTGATTAATAATTCACAAGTTTAGAGATAACTTTTTACATTTTTTTTATCCTATGTTTAAACAAGACTCTCGACAATTATAAGGTAGCCTTATAATAGTGAAATAGGCATGGTCTTTGAAGTCAGAACTGAGACCAAATGTTCACTCTGCTCTTTTTTAGATGTGTACTCTTAAACAGGTTCATTAACTTCTTCTGCACTTCAGTTTTATATAAAAAGCAAAAAGAATGCCTTTCCTACAGATCGTCATATAGATTAAATTAAATAATGAACGTAAAGCATCCTAGCTCAATGTGTGGCAATAGAGCACTGTTCAATTAACTGCTACTTTCCTTTTTACACCACCACCAATAGAGGAATTACTAAGTTGTTTTCATTTTCTGAATATTACTTAAAATTTTTTATTGGAGGCCAGGTGTGGTGGCTCACGTCTGTAATCCTAGCACTTTGGGAGGCTGAGGCGGGCGGATCACAAGGTCAGGAGATCGAGACCAGCCTGGCCAATGTGGTGAACCCGGTCTCTACTAAAAATACAAAAAAATTAGCTGGGTATGTAGGCGCCTGCCTATAATCCCAGCTACTCGGGAGGCTGAGGTAGGAGAATCGCTTGAACCCAGGAGGCGGAGGTTGCAGTGAGTCAAGATCTTGCCATTGCACTCTAGCCTGGATGACAGAGCGAGACCCAATCTCAAAAAATAATAATTCTATATTGGATCATATTAATAATACTTGGTTTGTGCAAAATAGTTTCCAATGTTTTGTTTAATTAGACTGACTTCTTTAGCATCACTGGATATGTATTTGTTAGTGAAGAGACCTCATATATTCTTAATCCAGTAATACTGAATGATAGATACAAGCAATAGATACTAGCAAGAAGGATATCCCAATATTGGTAAGGAATTTAGATTGTGGAGAGAAGAAAGACGAAATGTACACAGGAAAATCTTTATTTTCAGGAAGTGTTATAAAGGAAGATTCCCGTTTTTAATTATGTGACAACATGGGAAATGGACCAAATGGTAATCAGAGGAAATTAATGAGTTTCTTAATAATTAGCTGTACTGCAGATCATAGCTTTATTTGTTGCATTAATGAGTTTGCTGTTGCTCTAGACTGCTAAAGAACAGGCAGAACAGCCTATCACCATGTGTTTAGGAATAGAATTTAACTTTTCTGGAACAAATGTTTTATACTGACAAATTATAAAGCCACATATAGTAACCGTGTCTCTAAAGTTAAATTGTACTGAAAGTTTTCCAAGGAAGGAACTCATTATAAACTGATATCTTCCATTGTATGTACACACATAGCTACTATCTTGATATGGTATCTTGGCACAAGATGTTTAAAACTTTAAATATTGCCTGGGCAAGGTGCCTCATGCCCATAATCTTAGCACTTTGGGATGCTAAGGTGGGTGGATTGCCTGAGCTCAGAAGTTCCAGATTAGCCTTGGCAACATAGGTACACTTTGTCTCTACAAAAATTATAAAAATTAGCCGGGCATGGTCACACCCGCCTGTCGTCCTAGCTACTGGTAAGTCTGAGGTGGGAGAATCATTTGAACATGCGAGACAGAGGTTGCAGTGAGCTGAGATGACACCAGTGTACTCTAGCCTGGGCAACAGAGCAAGACCCTATTAAAAAAAATATATATTGCTTTTTAAAAATAAAATAATTGTGTTACTTAGTTTTTTGTTGTTGTTGTTGTTGTTCCATAGACTGTTGGTAGAGAAAATCTTTGCTCAGTATCTTGTCCCCCACAACCTGGAAACAGAAGAGAGAATGAAATGCTTGTATTACTTATATGCTAGTTTGGATCCAAATGCTGTAAAGTAAGTTACTTTTCAAATAACTGCTGGATTTCCAAAAGATTTCATAAAATAACTTTATCTTATCTAATTGTTATTGGTTGGATTGTTGCTACTTCTATATTTGAATCAAGAACCTCAGGTAAATATTTATAGACAAAATATTATGATTTATAAAATAGTTCAGTTAACACCAAAACTATTCTTACTCTTATATGTATAGGCATATTTGGCAGCTGGAACAATAGTAGGATGGTTTCAGGTATTCAAATAAATGACCATGTCAGAATACCTGTGACTAGTGTCTAAAACTACTGGTGCTTTATCCTATCCTTCCAAACTAAATATGAAGCCTAATAACTGAATACTGGTTCTTTGTTGGGTAAATACATTCAGATCTTCTCTTTGTAGGATGGCCATGTGATTGATTATTCAACTAGATTATTTTCAGACTACAAGGGATCACTGTTGATATTTTTGCCCAGATAACCAGCATAATCAAACTGTCCCAGGCCAACCAGGATGTGTGGGCATTTCACTTTAATAGATTTTTTTTAAGTAAATATTACAGTATATACATCTATATCATGTTGTACGTCATAGTATATGTAATTTTTCTCAAAAATACACAGTGTAAATGAGTCATGTCATTAAGAATTGTGATCTCAAGATGGAAGGATCACTTGAGCCTAGAAGCTCTACCAGCCTAGGCAACATAGTGAGACTCTGTCTTAAAAAAGAGAGAAAATTCTGGGTTAGGATTTTGATTGTTTGCCATTGTGGCTTCTTACATGTTCCTGCTTGGTAGATTAAGACTGCATTTTTAGGCTGGACACAGTGGCTCACCCCTGTAATCCCAGCACTTTGGGAGTCTGAGGTGGGCAGATCATTTGAGGTCAGCAATTCCAGACCAGCCTGCTCAACATGGTAAAAACCCCTTCTCTACTAAAAATACAAAAAAAATTGGCTGAGCGTGGTGGGACACGCCTGTAATCCCTGCTATTAGGGAGGCTAAGGCAGGATAATTGCTTGAATCCAAGAAGTAGACATCGCAATGAGCTGAGATCATGAGCCTGGGCAACAGAGTGAGACTCTGTTTCAAAAAAAAAAAAAAGGTAGACTGCCAGTTTTGCAGAAATTCTGTAAGATAGTGTTGTACCATTATTAATGCCTTTCCTGGCTTAAGGTTTTGATGTTTGTTTATATTTCAAAATAACTGACAGAGTACTTGGAGATTAGTAATTTCTCAGAGGTCATTTGGGCACGTGGAAACATGGAGGAATTTGTGATTCCCTGTGTTCCTGGAGAGAGAAAAGTCTAGAATAAGCACAATAATGTAAATTCGGCATCTTGAATCTGTGTTATTCCTAAGATACTACATTTCTCAAAATAGTCTGTAGTGCTTCATGTATACTCCGTGTAGCCTGTGTAATAGGCCTTCATTTTTTGATCTGTGTCTGTGGGATGCTCCAGGTTCCTTGTGCTCCACAGACACATATGCCCTGTGCTTCAAGCATATGTGTGTGTGTGTGTGTGTGTGTGTGTGTGTGTGTGTATATACACGTTTTTCACATTGCTATATGTCCCTTGCACTTTGACATTTTATCTTTCCTTGTACCAGAACTTTCTGGCTACTTGTATTTAAAACATCTTTCAATCTCTTTATTGCCTATTGATCTTTCTAAACCCCTCATATTTTCTCTCATAAGAAGGCTTATATTTGCCATTTGTACTAAATTGTTTTAAATCGTAATAGATATATTTTGTGGTGCTTAAACTTTTAGGTAGATGTAGAAGAATGGTGTGTATACACCATGCCGCAAAAAAAGTTGTAAAACTGAATATGAATAATTTCCAGTATTGTTATATAATGTATTTTTTCATAATCCTGACTCTCCAGAGCTCTCAATGAAATGTGGAAGTGTCAGAACATGCTTCGGAGTCATGTACGCGAACTATTGGATTTGCACAAGCAGCCTACAGTAGGTTCACTATTTGTTTAAATTCATATTTTATTACAGTCATTTTCAGATTTTCTGTAGTTCTATCTAGTGAAGCAAAGAAATGTATTTCAGTCGTTTTATTTTCCAAATGTCAGTTAAACATAATTTCTGTAGTTGTCTAAGCTAAATTTCCATTTAAAATGAATATAACAAACTCTTATTTTTCAGTTTGAGCAAAGAAATGGTGTTTTCTAGTTTACATAAAGTTTTCAGACACTAACAGTTTATATATAGTTCATCAATTTTCAAATAATTAGAATTAAATTTCAAGATGAAATTGTATTAGATGTCGTATTTCTTTTTCACTGCATGAATCATGGTCTCTCAGTATAGAGTGAATATCAGATATCAATCCTATAAATATGCCAATGGCCAGCTAAGAAGGAAACTTTACATTTTTAAGTGTATTCACTAGAATAGGTGTTCTTAACCAGGGGATCATATATACAGACCTCTCAGGGACACATGGGTAATGGAAGAGGAGCTGGTATACTTTTTTTTTTTTTTACACAGGATCTTACTCTGTTGCCCAGGCTATCACACCGTGGCATGATCACAGCTCACTGCAGCCTCAATGTCACTGGGCTGAGGTGATCCTCCCACCTTAGCCTTCTGAGTAGCTGGGACTACAGGTGTGCTCCACCATACCCAGCTAGGTTTTGTATTTTTTTGTAGAGGTGTGTTTTCACCATGTGGCCCAGACTGATCTCAAAATCTTGTGCTCACACAGTCTGCCTGCCTAGGCCTCTCAGAGTGCTAGGATTATTGGTTTGAGACACTGCACCCAGCCTGACAAACTTTTAAAATAAATCAACAGAGGCCGGGTATGGTGGCTTGCACCTATAATCCCAGCACTTTGGGAGGTCGATGCAGGCGGATCACCTGAGGTCAGGAGTTGGAGACCAGCCTGACCCAACATGGAGATACCTCACCTCTCTACTAAAGATACAAAATTAGCCAGGCGTAGTGGCACATGCCTATAGTCCCAGCTACTCAGGAGGTTGAGGCAGGAGAATCATTTGAACCCGGGAGGTGGAGGTTGCAGTGAGCCGAGATCACACCATTGCAATCCAGCCTGGACAACAAGAGTGAAACTCTGTCTAAAAAAAAATTAGGAGGCCAGGCGTGAGCACTTTGGGAGGCCGAGGCGGGTGGATCATGAGGTCGAGAGATCGAGACCATCCCAGTCAACATGGTGAAACCCCGTCTCTACTAAAAACACAAAAAATTGGCTGGGCACGGTGGTGTGTGCCTGTAGTTCCAGCTACTTGGGAGGCTGAGGCAGGAGAATTGCCTGAACCAAGGAGGCAGAGGTTGCGGTGAGCCGAGATTGCGCCATTGCACTCCAGCCTGGGTAACAAGAGTGAAACTCCGTCTCAAAAATAATAATAATAATAATTAATAGATACCAAAAACATATATTTTGCGAGGCATAGAGTCTCTGATCAGGTATTCAATCCTGCCTTTGCAAAATTAGTCATAGATGATACGTAAAGGAATGGATATGACGGTATTCCATCAAAACTATCAACAAAAACAGCCCATGGGGGCATGGTCTTCTAACTTTTAAACTAAATTATTTCAATTTAATATAAATTAAAACTAATAATAAAGTAATGCTATATGGGATAGAGGAAAGGGGAATAATTTTAGAAAGAAAGTTTTCTTGAAGGTATTTAAGTAATGGGCCACAAAATAGCTAACAAAACTCTATTCCAGAAGACAAAATTTCTACCCTTTATATTTTTACTTTTTTGTGGCTTGTAGTTTCACAGTAATTCTGATATGATAATTTTATATGTTAATTGCTTCATTGATCTTTTTTCAGTCTTCTGGCAATTTAACTTTCACATGAAAGTTGTATAGTTGTGATTTTTTTTTTTTAGTTGTGATTTTTAAAATACCTTCCTCCTAACATCTTTTTTCCTTCTATTTGTCTTAATAGTTGCTACTTTATAATTCCTTGTTGTTAATTTAGTGTATACATGTGATAAAACCATTTTCCCATTGAGCAGATTGTGATGAACGTTTTTTTAACTTCATGAAAAATGTACAGTAATGAGTATTGATTTTTGTTACAGAAATTTGTTAACATATATAACTAGTTGTTCTTTTGTTTCTGTTTTAAATTTCAGTCAGAGGCTAACTGTTCTGCCATGTTTGGAAAACTGATGACCATAGCAAGTGAGTATGTTTATTTACTCACTAAACATGTAATAAACGTCATTACAGACAAATTATTTACCTAATGGGACTATTGATTTAATGCTAAGTAAAACAAAAGAGCCTTCATCTTAATTTTATTTCTAAGAATCAGGCTGATTTTCTTTTAATGGCTCCACAATATTTTTATGACACCTGTTTTTCACTTAGTAGAATAGTATTTTTTCTTCTTCTACTCTAATACTGATTTCTCTTTTAATTTTATAGAGAATTTGCCTGACCCTGGGAAAGCACAAGATTTTGTGAAGAAATTTAACCAAGTTCTCGGAGACGATGAGAAACTTCGGTCTCAATTGGAGTTATTAATCAGCCCAACCTGTTCTTGCAAACAGGCAGATATTTGTGTGGTTAGTAAATCATACTTTACACTTTTTCTCTAGCTTTACTTACAGAAATATGTATTTCATTAAAGCCTGTTGTACACAGAGTGATTTGTGTAAATTTAACTGAGAGTGATTATTGTTAAATTTACACAAATTTAATTGAGAGTAATTACTCTCAGTTACTCTGTTGTCAAGTTAATTCTCTATCTGCCATTCACTCTCCAGCCACATTCCAGGAAAATGCTAGAGAACTAAGCCAGGGAGATTCGTCTTAGGAATTTTACAAGATAAAGTACTTTGTACTTAGTAGACATTCATTGAGTAACTGTTAAGCATTTTCTGAATACTTGTGTGCACATGCATTTCCTTCTTTCATGTATTAGAATGGAAACAATCCTTGTCAATAAATTAGCAGCAGTAACATTGCCATATATCTGTTTTCATTTACAGATAAAGTAAATTCCTATCTAGACTTTTGTCTTCATTCTACTCTTGAACTCATTTCATATAAAACAGTATTCTTGAAGCTATCAGGAGGGAAATCTTCATTTATTCAGCTTTTTTTTTTTTGTTTCCTGAGATAGTCTTGCTTTGTCATCCAGGCTAGAGTGGAGTGTCACAGTCATAGTTCACTGTAGCCTTAAACTCCTGTGCTCAAGTGATCCTGTACCTCAGCCTTCCACATAGCTAGATACTGGCACATGCATCCACATCCGACTACGTTTTTAAATTTTTTATAGGCCTGGCATGGTGGCTTGCACCTGTAATCCCAGCACTTTGGGAGGCTGAGGTGGGTGGATCACCTGAGGTTGGGAGTTCAAGACCAGCCTAGCCAACATGGTGAAACCCTGTCGCTACTAACAATATAAAAATTTACGGGGTGTGGTGGTACATGCCAGCTACTCTGGAGGCTGAGGCAGGATAATCCCTTGAACCCAGGAGGCAGAGGTTGCAGTGAGCTGAGATCGTGCCACTGCACACCAGCCTGGTGACAGAGTGAAACTGTTTTAAAAAAATACTTTTTTCCTTTTGTGGAGATGGGGGTTTCTATGTTTCCCAGGGTGATCTCAAACTCTCGGCTTCAAGTGATCTTCTCACCTCAGCCTCCTGAAACACTGGGATTACAATTGTGAGCCAGTGTACCCAACCTCATTTATTCAGCATATTATGAGAGAGTCATAGGTTTCCACCATACCATTTATTACCAATGTGATCTTTAGTAAGTAATTCAATATATTTATTTGAGCCCTGTTTTGCTCATCTGTAGACTTTAATCAACCTCATAGGGTTGCTAAAAGATTCTTTTTTTTTCTTCTCTTTTTTTCGAAATAGAGGCTATCGCTGAGGCCAGAATGCAGTGATGTGATCTCAGCTCACTGCAACCTCCACCTCCCGGGTTCAAGTGATTCTCATCCCTCAGCCTCCCAGGTAGCTGAGATTATAGGCATGCACCACCCCACATGGCTAATTTTCTGTATTTTTAGTAGAGACAGGGTTTCACTGTGTTGGCCAGGCTGGTCTTGAACTCCCGACCTCAGGTGATCCACCTGCCTTGGCCTCCCAAAGTGATGGGATTACAGATGTGATCCACACAACCTCCTGCATTCAAGTGATCCTTCCACTTCAGTCTCCTGAGTAGCTGGGACTACAAGCACATGCCACCATGCCCAGCTAATTTTTGTACTTTTTGTAGAGACAGGGAACTCCTGAGCTCAAGAAATCTGCCCTCCTTGGCCCTGCAAAGTGTTGGGATTATAGGTGTGAGCCACCACTCTCAGCCAAGAAAATCTTTAATAGGAAAAAGCTAATAGAATAAAAATGTTTAATAGGAAGAAGTTAATAATAATAAGCTAATAGAATAAAAATGTTTAATAGGAAGAAGTTAATAAGCTAATAGATATAAGGAAAGAAAATATTTTGTGTACACCTTTAAAATGTGTGTTTTAAGCTAAGTTTTATTACAAAAGAGTCAAAAAACTAAAAAAAAAAAAAAAAGAAAGGAAAAAAAACAGTACATTGGCTTGCATCTGTAATCCCAGCACTTTGGGATGCCTAGGCAGGGGGATCACTTGAAGCCAGGAGTTTGAGACCAACCTGGGCAATATATCGAGACCCTGCCTCTACAGAACACTAAAAAAACTAGCTGCACGCGGTGGTGCACGCCTATAGTCCTGCCTCCTCCAGAGGCTGAGATGGGAGTATCACTGTATCACTTGAGCCTAGGAATTTAAGTCTACAGTGACCAAGGAAGGTCACACCACTGCATTTCAGCCTGGGTGACAGAGCAAGATCCTGCCTCCAAAAGAAATTTATTTTTTTCGCCCTCTCAACCCAGCTTTTCCCAATTCCAGGAAGAACCGGGAAGAGAAGGCCCAAAAAATTTTTTAAAAACTAAAAAAACCTTGACGTTTATTAAGTAAAAATATTACAAAAAGCTAAGGCCAATTTATCTTTGAAGAAAGAAAAAATGTTTAAGTAAGTTTAGTGCTGCCTAAGCGTACAGTGTTTATAGAGTCTACAGTAGTTTCTAAAGTGTACAGTAATGTCCTCTTCCTTCACATTGACTCACCACTTACTCATTGGCTTACCCAGAACAACTTCTAGTCTTGTAAGCTTTGTTTATGGTAAGTGCTCTATATGTAGGTGTACTGTTTTTTATCTTTTATATAGCATTTTCATTATATGGTTTATGTTGTGTTTTCATCTTTTTATGTTTTTACCCTTTCTATGTTTAAATAATGTTTAAATCCACAAATACTGTGTTACAGTTCCCTGAAGTATTCAGCATAGTAACATGCTGTACAGTTTTGTAGCATAGAAGTAGTAAGCTATACCATTTAGGTTTGTGTGCATGCATTCTATGATGTTCACATGATGAAATTGCCTTAACAGCACATTTCTCAAAATGTGTCTCTACCATTGAGTGATGCATAATTCTTTGTGTGTGGGGTAGGGGTATGTATTTCTCCATATATAGGGCTCTGCACTGCCCTATTGGATTTAAATAAATAATCCTTCTTACAATGTTACATATAAACATCAAGTACTATGCTTGGGACCAGACTTACAGAGATAAATAAAAGAAACCTAATTTCAATTTATATATGTCTAACTTTGTTCTAGAAAGGATTGGAGTTGATTAGTTTTAAAATAACTTATAAAGGATAAAGACTATAGTAGATATATATACAAAGAGGTCTAGCTCTGTGGAACAAGTATCATTTATTCAGCATAGAGATCTGTAAATACCGATAATTAGGAGGACATGGGGAGGAAACCAATTTAGGTTAGAGAAAAGTGGGCTCGTCTCTCAGGGCTTGGAATGTGGACATGCCAAATGCCCGGACTACCTCAACCTTTGTACTTCTTTTTAAAATTTTATTTACTTGGTTATATTTTTCTTGTTTTGAGACAGGGTCTTTCTCTGTCACTCAGGCTAGAGTACAATGACACAATCTCAGCTCACTGTAACCTCTGCATCTCAGGCTCAAACGATGATCCTGCCTCAGCCTCCCTGGTAGCTGGGTCAACAGGCATGCACCATGATGCCTGAGTAATTTTTGTATTTTTAGTAGAAACAGGGTTTCCCATGTTGCCCAGGCTGGTCTCAAACTCCTGGACTCAGGTGATCCCAGCCACCCTGCCCAACAACCTTTGCACTTCTGAGCTGAGTAATTTGCTGAAAACGCTTAAAAGTTTCATTGACTTCTTTGGCATTTAGAAGTCTAGTTCCAGAGTCCTGTGTCCTGCGGAGAATCTAATATTATAATTCGATCATACAATGAAATAGCTTAAAAAGGCCAGGCACGGTGGCTCACTCCTGTAGTCCCAGTACTTTGGGAAGCTGAGGTGGGCAGATCACTTGAGGTCAGGAACCAACACTGTATAAATGAAGACCATACAGTGTTAAGAGCATGGGCTCATGATACCCCTAACTCTTACATTAGCATGTGTGATTGAGCATGTTATTTAACTATATGTTCTCATATGTAAAGTGAGTCTTAGAATACTCTTTAGACACAAGAAACGACCTCTGTTAGAGTACCTCTTTGAGTTTGTCCTTTTCCCCCCGGGCTACTGAATATTATTTATGTATTTTCGATGATAACGCCATTCCTGTTCTGATATAAAAGAATAAAGAAAAATATGCAGTCATAAAATTTAGTTTCTCTCATTCTGTGTAGCTTTCACTCCATCCGTGAGAGTTCCTTCTCTGTACCCTAATGTGTATTTATCACTACCTCTTTATTTTCGTAAATTACAATCATATCTCCCTTCTCAAGAGGTAGCTATTACTTGGTAAGAGAGTTAGTAGACATATATATCTAATATTTTCCTTCCTTTGTCCAAGTTCCATTTCTGAAAAATCTTAGCAAAAGTACTTTGAGCAAAGATTATCAACAGTGACATGTGTATTTGTATGTGGGGTGGGGGATGTAATAAAAGAGAGCAGTGGAATTGAAATGTGATATATGGATATGTTTTCCTTTTAGAATTCAAGTTTTAGGTTTCTACACCTTGACGCTAGAGAGGGACCACATATTTACCATAGCTTCAGCTGTGCCTCCTAGTTTATGCTTCATTGCCCGCCTATGACAGTGGTCCCCCAACTTTAATATTTTCCAGGAAGCTTGCTTATTCAGCATTTTATGAAACAGTCCTCAGTTTGAATATCAGCTATACCGATGTGACCTTTAGTAAGTTACTCAGTATTTTCAAGCCTCTTTATTTATTTTCTTCACCTATAAATATTATCACCCTCATAGGATTTTTAAAAGAATAAAGTAAAATGAAATTTTATATATGGCTTAATACAGGGCCTCCCTGCACTGCCTGCAGGGTTTCAATAAATGGTTCGTTCTTTTAGGTCTTACACTGCAAAGAGTAAGGATCTTTAAAATAGGTGTAATGTAGGATCATGAATCCATCTTTTAACCAAATCTCAACATGAGTAATTTATGGACTACACTTATAAAATCCCTCCTCTACCTAATTACCTGGATATTCATTGTATCTTCAGAAGTCCAAATATTATTTTCTTTTTTGATCAAGCACACACTGTTATAATTCACTGCATGATTTAATACATTTTATAATACACGGAATCTCATGAAGCTTGCAGAATAAGTGACAGAGGCCAACAAATATTTTTATAGAATTGTGTTCTTTGGCAAAATACAGGAGCATTACTCATCCCAAGCAGGGATGGAAATAGGGCCAAGAATCACTTCTTCTAGAATAAGTGACTCCTAAATTGAATCTTAAAGGATGAATAGGAATTAGACCATTGTGTTAAGAATGACTGCTTTATTTCTAGATTGGCTGACCTGGATATCGGGAGATGATTTAGGGAAGAAGACAGCATCTTAGCAGTTATGTTCAGAAGTGTTGAGATTCAAGTCTGGTTCTGTATATTAGTACAGTTATATCGCTTGGAGAAAGTACAGAAGAAATCGGAGACAAATCTGAGAACCCCCCCCCGCACGTGTGTGTGTGTGTGTGTGTGTGTGTGTGTGTATGCATGTGTGTGTTTTGAGACAGCGTCTCATTGTGTTGCCCAGTCTGTGGCGTGCAGTAATGTGATGATAGCTCATTATATCTTCAACCGCCTAGGCTCAAGTGATCCTCCTACCTTAACCTCTCAAGAAGCTGGGGCTACAGGTGTGTGCTACCATGTCCAGCTAATTTTTTGATTTTTTGTGGAGATAAGATCTCACTATGTTACCCAGGCTGGTGTCAAACTCCTGAGCTCAAGTGATCCCCCTGCCTCAGCCCCGTTTTCATTTAGTTACTTTTTTTTATAATTCAATGAGTATAATGCACATCTCACTTGAATATGAAAGTTAAAACTTTGGAAGTTCCTTCTTATAAGAAACTGCTATATCCTTTTCTAGATTACTGATTCCAGCTGCAACAAATATTGATAATGTTAAACTCCCTTCTAATTTATTTTTAGTAGCCATAACAGTAATTTTGCAACAAGGATAAGTGTGCACATGAAAGAATACCTTTTTAAAAGAAGATTTTTTTTCTTTTCCTTTTTTTCGAGATGGTGTCTTGCTCTGTCACCCAGGCTGGATTACAGTCGTGCGATCTCAGCTCACTGCGACCTCTGCCTCCCAGGTTCAAGTGATTCTTGTGCCTCCGCCTCTTAAGTAGCTGGGATTATAAGCATGCATCACCATACTCTGCTAATTTTTGTATTTTTGGTAGAGACGGGGTTTCACCGTGTTGGTCAGGCTGGTCTCAAACTCCTGACCTCAAATGATCTGCCCGTCCCCCTTGGCCTCCCAAAATGCTGGGATTACAGGCATGAGCCACTGCACCGGGCCTAATACCGTAGTCTTTGAGTTTAAATGGGTAGTTACTGTTTTTGTTGTTGTTTTTTGAGACAGGGTCTATGCAGCCGTGCAATATCAGGTGGTCACTGCAACCTCCACCTAGCAGGCTCAAGTGATCCCCCCACCTTAGCCTCCTGAGTAGCTGGGAGCACAGGCAAGTGCCATCACACCTGGCTAATTTTTTGTATTCTTTGGTAGGAACAGGGTTTTGCCATGTTTCCCAAACTGGTCTTAAACTCTTGAGCTCAGATAATCCACCTGCCTTAGCCTCCCAAAGTGCTTTGATTACAGGTGTGAGCTACGGTGCCTGGCCTGAGAGTTACTTTTATTATTGGGGTCATCTATCAGCCTTTCATAATTACATGTCTAAATTATAATTAGGGTTCTACAGGGTTCTCATGTATCCTTCACCTGTGTTCTTTCAGAACTGAAAACTTTTGCAAGTATTTATATATGTATGAATATCTATTTTTTAAAAACAAATTAACTGGCCAGGTGTGGTGGCTTTATGCCTGTAATCCCAGCACTTTGGGAGGCCAAGGCTGGTAGATCATCTGAGATTCAGGAGTTCAAGACCAGCCTGGCCAACATGGCGAAACTTCATGTCTACTAACAGTACAAAAAATAGCCAGGTGTGGTGGCACATACCTGTAATCCCAGCTACTATGGAGACTGAGGCAGGAGAGTTGCTTGAACCCAAGAGGCAGAAGTTGCAGTGAGCCAAGATTGCGCTGTTGCACTCCAGCCTGGGTGACAGCAAGACTCCATCTCTAAAAAAAAAAGTTAACTGAAACAAAACACAATATTCTGTCAAATTATGAAACAAAACCAAAAAAGCATGCCCATAAAAGTACAAATCATTTATATTCTAAATTAGAGCATTAAAAAGGTTGCGATATGCTGGGCATGGTGGTTTACACCTGTAATCCCAACAGTTTGGGAGGCCGAGGCAGGGGGATCACTTGAGGCTAGGAGTTCAAGATTAGCCTGGCCAATGTGGTGAAACCCTGTCTACAAAAATTAGCTGGGCATGGTGGCACCTACCTGTAATCCCAGCTACTCAGGAGACTGAGGCAGGAGAATCACTTGAACCCAGGAGATGGAGGCTGCAGTGAGCCAAGATTACACCACTGCACTCTAGCCTGGTGACAGAGTGAAGCTCTGGCTCCAGAAAAAAAAAGGTTGCTATATTAAACAATAATTTCATTGAAGAACTGTGAGGCAAGACTGCGTTCACTCAGAAACAACATCATCCACTTTTTTTCTCCATTGTCCAGATTTTGCAGTGATTGCTTGGTGGGTGTAAAAATTTAAGTTAGGATGTAGAGCAGAAAATTCTCACTTTTGTTGATTTTGAATATTTCAGTTCCTTTTCTTAGCCTACAGTTATTTTCATTTTGAAAAATGTGAAAACAAATCACACTTGGTAAAACTCTTTTCTTTCTATAGAGAGAAATAGCCCGGAAACTTGCAAATCCTAAGCAACCAACAAATCCTTTTCTAGAGATGGTCAAATTTCTGTTGGAAAGAATCGCACCTGTGCACATTGATTCAGAAGCCATAAGGTAAGCTAGGAAGTATATTCACTCAAAAATAGATAATCTGAAACTTCAGTGTTGTTAATTTAAATTCTGGGCCTCTGAAGATATCTAAAGACCTCTGTATGTCTCTTTTTAATCACAGGAGTGTTACATCATTCAAGTTGAAGGGAAGGCCTGCTTATTTTATGATCTTCGGCTTTATTTAATGCTTTTGGTTTTTAAAGGGTTTTTATGTTTATTTTTAGCATACATATTCTCATTAAAGAAAACTTAGAAAAAAGAGAAAGATAGAGAAAGGAATGTTCTAGATCTGTGTGGCTGTTGACCAACCTCTGAGTTTTCTTAAGCATTTTAATGGCCCCATAATATTCTGTAGTATATATTACTACAGAATAGTGTAGTATAGTGGTAACTGTTCATTTGATGTGTGGGAACAGAGTGGTTTATTGGAAGGAGGACAGGATTGTCTTGAGACAAATTTGGTTTCAAAACATAAGTCTACTTTGTGGCTTTGTAAAAAGTCTTTGAATTTTTATTTATTTTCAACTTTAATATGGGCATAAAATCTTGTTGGATGATTGTGTTAATTCAAGATAATATATAAAAGGTAAGAAGCCTGGCATTATAGATATTAGCTATTGATTTTTTATTACGTATTCTCATGACTTCAGACTTTTCTGTTGGTTTTAATGATTTTCTATTGCAAACTTCTGGTAATGCTTTATCTTGCATTAATCATTTTTCCAGTAGATAGGTTATGTATCTTTCCACATTGGGTTACTATGCAGCACTTGTTGGTTCTTTTTCCAAACAGCCTAGAATTCAGAGATCAGTTACAGTGCCCAAGTTTTACTGTTTATTTCACCTTAGGTGAATCGCTGATGTGGCTGTATTAAAATGCTGATTGTATTCATTTGCTAGGGCTTTCATAATAAAATATCCCAAAGTGGCTGGCCTAAACAAAAGAAATTTATTTTCTCACAATTCTGGAGGTGTAAGCCTGAGATCCAAGGTATCAGCAATTTTTAATTTTTTTCCTGAAGCCTCTCACCTTTGTTCACAGATGGTTTCCTTCTCACTGTGTCCTCTTGTGGTCTTTTCTCTGTGCACCCAGCATATTTATGTCCTAATCTGTTATAAGAACAATAGTCATATTGGATTAGGCTCCACCCATTCAGTCTTATTTTACCTTGATTGTCGCTTTAAAGGCCCTATCACTAAATGCAATCACATTCTGAGATACTGGGGATTAGAATTCATATTAATTTGGGAGAAACACATGTCAGCCCATAACATAATTAATATACACTTATTCAGCCTATATCTAATAATTTAATACATTCATATAATTTGTGAAGATCAGATCAGTGTAATGGGGATATACATCACCTTAAATATTCATCTTTATGCTAGAAACATTGAAATTCTCTTCTAGCTAGTAAACTATAGACACTCTACCAATCTCTAAAACACTATTATATCTATTAATTAACCTCTCTTCGTTCCCCCTTTCCCAGCTTCTTGTAACCACCAGTATACTCTGTCATCATGAGGCCCACATTTTTAGCTTCCACCTAAGACTGAGAATATGCAATTATTTGTTTTTTTTTGTTCTTGGCTTATTTCATTTAACATAATAAGCTCCATTTCCATATGTGTTGCTGCGAATGGCAGGATTTCATTCTTTTTTGTGGCTCACTGATTCTTCATTGTACATATATACCTCATTTTATTTCTTCATTTATTGATGGGCACTTAGGTTGATTCCATATTTGGCTTTTGTGAATAGTGACACAGTAAACATAGGAGTGCAGATATCTCTTCCATATATTAATTTCCTTTATAAAAAATAATTACCCAGTAGTGGAATCGCTAGATCATATGGCAGATCTGTTTTTAGTTTTTTGAGGAACCTCCATGCAGTTTTCCATAGTAGCTATGCTAATTTACATTCCCACCAACAGTGTACAAGGGTTCACTTTTCTCCACATCCTTGGTGGCATTCATTATTCCCTGTCTTGTTGATAAAAAGCCATTTTAACTGAGGTAATGTTTCTCCTTTTGGTTTTCATTTGCATTTCTCTAATGATTGATGTTAAACATTTCTTCATATACCCGTTGGCTACTTTTATGTCTTCTTTTGAGAAATGTCTGTTCAGATATTTTCCCATTTTTAAATTGCATTGTATTGTGTGTGTGTGTGGTTTTGATTTTTTGTTTGGTGTTTTTTATTTTGTCATTTTGCTTTTGAGTTATTTGAACTCCTTATATATTCTGGTTATTAATCCCTTGACAGATGGATAATTTGCAAATATTTTCTCATTCTGTGTGTTGTCTCTTCACTATTTTTATTGTTCCCTTAGCTGTGCAGAACCATTTTAGCTTGATGTATTCCTATTTTTCTGTTTCTGCTTTGGTTGCCTGTACTTTTGGGATCTTGACACAAACAAATTTGGGTCAGACCAATGTCTTTAAGCATTATCCCAGCATTTTCTGCTAGTAGTTTTATCCACTAGGTCTTCATCCATTTCGATTTGATTTTTTTTAGAGGGTGAGGGATAGGGACCTATCACTGATGAAAATAGATGCAAAAATCCTCATAAACACTAGCAAACCTGTTTCAATAACACATTAAAAATACCATTCATCATGATTCATCCCAGGGATGCAAGGATGGTTCACATATATCAGTCAATAACCATGATTCATATTAATAGAACCAAGAATGAAAACCATATAGTCATTTTAACAGATGCTGAAAATACCCTCAACAAAATAGGTATAGAAGGAACATACCTCAGTAATAGAGGCCATAGGTGACAAACCCACACCAATCATTGTGTTGAATGGAGGAAATTGAAAGGCTTTTCTATAATAATTGGAGTAAGATACCAAAGCCACTTTTACCACTTTTATTCAACAAAATCCTGGAAGTCCTGGCCAGAGCAATTAGGCAAGAGAAAGAAAGGCCATTCAAATTTGAAAAGAAAGAAGTCAAATTAGCCTTGTTTGCAGTTGACATTATCACAGAAAGACTCCACCAAAAAACTGTTAGAACAGATAAATGAATTCATTATAGTTGCAGGATACAAAATCAACATACAAAATTCAGTAGCATTTATATATGCCAACAGCAAACAAAATCAAGAAAGCAATCTTATTTATAGCAGCCACAAAGAATATCAAATACCTAAGAATCAACTTAACCAAAGAAGTGAAAAATCTATTACGAGGAATACTTTAAAACACTGATGGAAGAAATTAAAGATGACACACAAAAAACAGGAAAATATTCCATGCTCATGAAATGGGAAAATTAATATTGTTAAAATGATGATACAACTCAAAGTAATTTACAGATTAAATGCGATTTCTATCAAAATACAAATGACATTCTTCACAGAAATAGAGAAAACAATCCTAACATATACGTGGAACCAGCAAAGACTCAAATAGCTTAAGCATTATATGGAAAAAGAACAAAAGCTGGAGGCATCACACTGCCTTTCAAATATCCTACAAAACTATAGTAACCAAATGAACATGATGGCATAAAAACTAGTTATATAATCCAAACGATCAGAATTGAGAACCCAGCTACAAATTTGTGCTTTTTTAGCCAGCTCATTTCCAATAGAAGTGTCAAGAACATAGTCTCTACAGTAAATTGTGCTGGGAAAACTGACTAGCAGAAGAATAAAACTAGACCCCTATCTCTCATCTCTCACTATATAAAATCAACAAAATATACTTTTGTTTATCTTCATTTTTTTTTTTTTAAGACAAGGTCTTGCTGTGTCTCCCAGGCTTGAGTACAGTGGCATGATCATAGCTCACTGTAGCCTCAACCTCCTGGGCTCAGGTGATCCTCCTCCCTCAGCCTCCTAAGTATCTGGGACCACAGGCACATGGTACCACACCTGGCTAATTTTGTGGCTGTGTTTTTTTGTTTGTTTGTTTTGGTAGAGACAACGTTTTGCCATGTTCTCTGGGCTGGTCTCAAACTCCTGGACCCAAGCGATCCTCCCACTTCGGCCACTTCGGCCTCCAAAAGTGCTGGGATTACAGGCATTAGCCACCACACCCAGCCCTTTTTTGTAAGATTTTCTTTTCTGACCGGGCGTGGTGGCTCATCCCTTTAGTCCCAGCACTTTGGGAGGCCGACGCAGGCAGATCACAAGGTCAGGAGTTGGAGAACAACCTGGCCAATATGGTAAAACCCCATCTCTACTAGAAAAAATTAGCCAGGCATGGTAGTGCATGCCTGTAATCTTAGCCTGGGAGGCAGAGTTTGCAGTGAGCTGAGATCACACTGCTGCACTCTGGGTAACAGAGTGAGACTCCATCTGAAAAAAAAAAAAAAGATTTTCTTTTCTTTTTTGGGTACAGGATCTTACTCTGTTGCCCGGGCTGAAGTGCTGTGGCATGATCTTGGCTCACTGTAGTAGGCTCAAACAGTCTCAGACCTCAGCCTCTTGAGTAGGTAGAACTATAGGCACATCACCATGCTTAGCTAATCTTTTTAGAGTTCTTTTGTAGAGAAGGAGTTTTACCATGTTGACTAGGCTGGTCTTGAGCTCCTGCCTGGGAAGCTCACCTCAGCTTCCCAAAGCACTGGGATTACAGGCGTGAGCCACCATACCTGGCCTGATTTTCTCATCCTCTAATTTTCTCATTTGCAAATAAGTAAGGAACTTTTAAGACTTTGAGGGACTAATTGTTTTGTCCACATTGTAGTAGTTCATAAACAGTAAGTTAAATCTGCCTATGTTATTTTGCATGTTAATGTCCTTTGCTCTGTACCATTTGACTTTAACGGGATAGATAATGTATATAACGTAGTAGAAATGGCCACTCTTGCTTAAGCATATTAACTTTGAAAGAGACATATAATCCTGTCAGAAAATCAAAGCCTCCATGAAGCCTCACAAGGGTTTTGCTACTTCAGCAAATTATAGCATAATATTTGATCTCCAGTGTTAAAAGACCAAAAACTCAAGTTTTTCAGTATCATCATTAGTTGT